GGTTCCAACTCGATGGCACCTGACAACAACAACAACAATGTGATAGTTTATATGGGAGAACATTAGCTTTCACATTCATCTTATCGTATATTGTTTCATTGCCATGGTTACAATCCATTCCATGCATCATCAACCAACCAAAGGGTATAGGGGGCTAGCCTGCCCTCTGGTCGTCAGCACACAGCCCCTCTCCCTCTCTGGGTCTAAAGTCCCCAGTCCCTTCATCTCTCACGTCATCATCTCTGCCTCCATCTCTGGCGTCTCTAGGGGATATCGTCATGGATTGTCTACCTGCCACCAGCTAGCTGCTTCTCTCTAAAGGTGTTGCAGGTCTGAGAGCCTTATCTCTGTCTCCAAGCAGTGTTACCATTCTAGTTGGACTAGAGATGTCCCACCCACCCCCACACCCCCCCGTTTTGATTGTTGTTTAGTAGGAAAGGACTTAGGGCACGGGTGGATATGAAGCCAGGGTAAGACAGGCCCAGGGCCCAGGGGTCCCTGAGTGAGGACCACACAGGGTAACATCATGGGGTGGAAGTAGGTGCAACAAAAATGACGGTCTAAAAAATTTGTGTGTTTTTCCCGGAGCGGATCCTCCTCCAGCCGAGCCCACCAGCACCCCAGGCTTGGAGGGGCGCGTCTTGCCGAGACTGGGGCCCGGCCGTCGGGAGGGGCAGCCCAGGTCCACTGCTTCAGTCGTCCACCCGAGCGGTGTGGCCGAGATCCCCAACAGAGTTACTCCGTGAGTCCCTGGCCGCGCGGGGCTTCCCACGTCCGATTCTGTGGTGTCGGCTATGGAAGGAGGCCCATGGGGGCGCCAGCAGCCCTAGGGAGGACACCACGTCAGTGAACGCCGTCGAGTCCGCGGGGCATTCAAAGCATCCTTCAGTCACTGTCGGGCTGCTCCGCGGGTCAGTCAGTCCGTCAGAATCCAACAGAGAATGTGCTGAGGGTTGACAGTCAACCTGCCGGTCCCTCCCTTCACACACCGCTGTCTGAGCCCGGTGTAATCCTTTGCTGAATCTCCGCTCCCGACAGAAGCCACGCCCTAAGGCCACGCCTTCTCATAATCTTCTCCAATCACAGATCTTTAGCTCACAAGAGTGCCCGCCTTCCAGAACCGCATCCAGTCACAGGTCCCATTTTTTCTGAAACTCTGCCCTCTAGCAATGCCCGCCCTCTAACAGACTGGAGAAGACTACCCCGCAGGTTTGTCTTATCACAGACCATCCTCTTCCAGGCCCTGCCCCTCTGAGGAGTCACGTCCAATCAGAGTCCTTTTGCTCTCCGAGAGTCTTCGCTCAGGCTGGCGTCACCGATGACGCTATCGTGCTGCGCCGGAGGAAGGTCACACGGGCTCCTCCAACATGGCGGCAGCGGCGCTGCGGGCCGGCTGGTGCCGCTGCCCGCGGGTGAGCGACCGTGCGGGCTGGTGGGGAGGGCGCCTTGGGGCTCTGGGCCCGCGGCCTTCAAGTTCTCCTCCTCAAGTCTTTGATTCCTGCTGCCTTCTCTTGGGCTCGGGAGAGAGGCTAGGTCCACTGAGGCCGGGGTGGGGGTGCCCAGCGCGAGGCCTGAGCGCGGGTTAGGGGTACGAGGCGCGCAGCCCGGCAGAGAGCGGATAACCCTTCACCTCCCGCTCAGACCCAACGTGCTTGGGGTGGCGGTGGCTGGTTGAAAACAAAGTAGGGAGGAGAAGACAAAGTGACAATCACGTCTCGCGTTTGTATACGAGGTCCCGTATTGAGAGCACTTCCTGCCTTGTCTCTTACATCCCTCACATGGACATACGGGAGGCGCGGTTCTCCTGGAGGCCAAGAGTTTGGGGTTTTGAGCCCATTGTGGAATGGGAGAGAGTGTGAAGAACTCTTCAGCTGCTGCTCCTCCCAGGTTCACAGATTAGCAATCCAGACAGGTTGAGCAACCTGCCCACAGGCCTAGAGCTAATGGGGTGGTGTGTTCTGGTCCAAAGCCCATGTCAATTTGATCCCAGAGCCAAACTGTACCAACTCGTAGGCCTCCCAAGTGTGGTAAAAGGTGGTATCTTTGAGTCAGAACTAGTTTTTTCTTAATATATATATATTTTTTTAAGTATTGGCTGCTTATCTTTTGATTCAGTGTTTAGAGATTGGATGTACGTTTGGTCACAGACCTAGGGGGAAGGGAACTCGCCTTAGACTCCCAGATTAGGCATCCTTCCACTTATATTTTGGACAGGGACCCAAGTCAGTGGCTTCAGGGTAAATGGGTGGTTCTTGTTGCTAAGTGCTGTTGACTCGGTTCTGACTCATGCTGACCCTGTTTAGGGTTTCTGAGGAGCGGCTGGTGAGTTTGAAACCCCGGCCTATGGTCTAGTGGTTGTCCTACAGCGCATCACCTGGACTCCAGGATATATGGGTAGAGGCATAAAACAAGTTACAGGAAACCTGCAAAGGCTGAAACCTGTATAAGGAGACGGTGACTTGGCACATTTCTTAGGCAGGGAACATGAGCAGGCAAGATCCTGTTATTTGGTGTTGAAGAGTCGATTTTGAGTCACAGTGACTTTAGGTGACAGAGTAGAATTACCCTTAGTGTTGCCTAGATAAAAGAGTTGTTAAGTTCTGTTGAGTCGGTTCCAATTCATGGTGACCCTGTATAGGGCTTCCAGGGAGTGGCTAGTGATTCAAACCAACCTTGCTGTCCAGTGTTTATCCTGCCATGTCACACCAAATAAAATAGAGGGTCAGGGAAAAAGAGGAAGATCCCTAAGGAGATGGATTGACCCCGTAGCTGCAACACGGGCTCAGACATATCAATTATGAGGCTGACATAGGACTAGGTGGTGTTGCATGATGTTGGGCAAGTGAGTTGGAACCGAATGGGTGGCACCTAAGGACAACCTTCTTTGCTGAAGCACATCGCCAGGTCTTTCTCCCTAGGAGCGACTGGGTAGATTTGAACCACCAGCCCTTTGGATAGCAGCTGAGCACTTTTATCATTGTGCCACCAGATGTGTAAATGGAAGAGTGGTTTGTTGGGCCATTTGATAACGGTGTGCACATTAGGTTCCGTGCGTTGAGCAGAATACCCAGGTCCTTCCCTTCAGAGCATAGTTCATTAGTTGGTAGAAGAAGATGCCTTTCTCATGAGTTTAGCAGGGGCTGTGCTTGGAGCGACTCCCTGGCCAGGCTTGAGGCTTAGCCCTTGACCAGAGCATTACCTCAGAGGGTTTCTAAAGCTGCTGACTTCGCAGAAGCAGACAGACACACGTGGAGCTGCTGTTGTGTGACCTTTCAGACAGTGCTCCACCAGGGCAGGCATGTTAAGCTTCCACCACTCATAAGTTTGTCTTACTGTCCTGGTTTATGTGTTGCTAAGATGCTGGAAACTATGCTGCTAATATTTTAAATAACAGGGTTACCCAGGGCGTACTGGCTTTAGCAGGACTTACGTGGAGTCCTGGTGTGGCGCTGTGGGTTAATGCGCCAGACTGCGAAGCTGTTTGAACAGCACGGTTGGCAGTCCAAGCTCACCAGCTGCTCCTCGGAAACCCTATACAGGGTCGCTGTGGGTCGGAACTGACTCAATGGCACTTAACAACAACAACAACATGTGGCACTTTCAGAAAAACACTGAACCACAGGTTGGTTTGAAGCGCCAAGTCAGCAGTTCAAACTCACCAGCCACTCTTCGGAAACCCTATCTGTGGTCACTATGAATTGAAACTGACTTGATGGCACTTGACAACAGAATAATAGAGACCAGGAAGAAAGGCCTGCCCATCTACTCCCCAAACTCAGCCAGTGAAACCCCTGTGGATCACACCAGAACATTGATCGATATGACACTAGGCAATGATCCCCCTGGATGGAACCAAAGCTACTGCCCCAAGGTTTCCTGGGACCCATCCATTTTCCTCCAGGTTGAGAGGATAGGTAGAAGCCTGGGGTTGACTTTCTGCCAGATTCCACTGGCTTTTCAGACAGCAGGATAATCAAAACATACTCAGTGTGCCGCAGGCAAGTGATAGAAATTAGCGAAAGGGTCTCACTGCCCAGTCAGCCTCGTGTTTTAATGCATCTTTCTCTCTTTCTCCCCAATCAGAGATGCCTCGGGAATGGAGTCCAGTTTCTTCCCAGCCATAAGCTAGTGCCCCTGAGCCATGGTTCAACCAATCTGATCCACTGGCCAGGTGGAGAGCTGCCCCTGGTGAGTGGCTGAGGGGAAGCCAGCGGTAGGGGGAGATCTGAAAAGCCAGACTTTGTTACAGGGGAGGGGTTCGGGACATGGCCAGAGAGGGTGTAGGGCCATAGCAGGCATTCCACAACAGAGGTTTTGGGATCACAGAGCCCAGCGTGCCCAGAAAGCAGTCGAGCAACGTTTGCTGGGCATCTGAATGGAAATCCACTCCATGAGGTGACTCACCATGGTCCCCTCGCCAAGCAAGGCTGCTCTGTTTTCCTGGGATTGTAGCCGTTAAGGCACATGAGCTTGACTTCCCCAAGGGGAAGGGTCCCCACATGCTGAGTCCTTGCTCTCAGGTAGTGTTTTATAGAGTGTTGCCCTCGTGGTCTCTGGAGACAGCTTTGGACTACGTCACCACCTTCCGAGGTCAGGGAAGCTTGTGCTCTGCCCCCAAGCCTGTGAACTCAAGCTGTCCTGCCCTCCTCTCCCTTGCCGGCACCCAGAGCATTGTCTTAGCACCTTCCTGTCCTCTTCCTGCACCCAGAGCATCGTCTTAGCACCTTCCTGTCCTCTGCCTGCACCCAGAGCATCGTCTTAGCACCTGCATCTCAGACAGTGACCTGTACCTGCCTCCCATGAGGTTTATCCTCCAGTCTAGTTAGGGACCCTTTTCCTTGTTGCCCAATCCACCCCCACACTCAAGGTTTGCAGCCCCAGAGGGTAGGGCTCGCAGCACGCCAGGGCTTCAGAATGGTTAACAGCTCAGCCGATGCTGTTGGAAACAAATGCCTTCCATAGCAACCGAGATTGTGGCCCTGGTGACATTGTGATTCAAGAGCAGCACACATTCATCGTGGGAACAGAAAACCCCAGTACCATTGGAATCAGCTCAAAGACCAATGACAGTGGGTTTGTTTTTGTTGTTTCTGAGGACCCAGACAGCTGTGCCCCGCTCAGTCAGAGAGGATGGCCAACCACACCGCTATGAGTGTATGCTGCTTACTCTCTGGTGTCCTGTCAACAGTCCAGCCTCCCACCTCAGGCTCCTGGGACTTGAGGAGGCAGGACAGGACCACGAGTCTTGGACAGTCCTCTGAACCCACTCGTTGCACATGGGGCAAAGCAGGGATCCAGCCCTGACTCTGTGTGACCAGAGCTGAGCCCCTGGAGGTTGGAATTTTCTGTGACTCACCTGTGGCCCCATCTTCAGGCCCTTGTGTGACCCGAAAGGAAGCAGTTCTCACAGCCCCAGAATCCCAGGGACCTTGGGATTCAGAGACTGAGATTCCTTGCAACTCCAGTTCAAGACGAGGGCCGCTCTGGACATTGACCTTTGTCTGGAGTGACTGAGAGTGTATTTGATTTCCCATGACAACCTGCACCTGGCTCCTTTTTGTTTTTTGTTTTTGAGAATACTGTGTGATTGTGTTTTCAGTGCATGTGTGCACAGCAGTGTAGGTTCCTGGGTGACAGTTTCTCAGTGACAAGTAGTTGAGTGATGCTGGTGCACTCTTGGCACCGTGTGAACATTCTGTGAGTTCTGTCCAGATGGTGCCATTGCCATCCCTTCTCACTGCCTGTGTTGTGCTCTGACACGGGCGAGGAGTGTTTCCAGGAGCGTAGGCCTCATGGCTGATGTTTGTACTCTGCGAGCCTGTCCCTGAGCTCAAAGGTGAATGTCCTAGGACCACAGTTTCGGGGAGTCCTCCAGTCTCATCGGGTGCACTAATCTGGCTGTGAAGTGCTGTTCTCCCATTTTCCTCCCATTCTGTTAGGGTCTGTCCTAGTGGCCCTGGCAGCACCTACATTTCCTCTGTGGGAGAAAGGAGCTTAGGGTCTTCAAAACCTGCCTCATCCGCAGCATTATCATAAATAAAAGGTGACACCTGCACCCGATAGAAAGGAGAGAACTAACATCGCTCCCTTCTCACTCCGTTCACCAAACATTCCCCCGTGGCTCTTCCAGTCCCTTTTGTAACTTTTTCTTTTTACTACGTTCCTCTAGTCTAGATCCTATTCTTCTGACAGCAGAAAAGGCTTCCTGTCTGGCTTGATGGATAACATCAAACAGGAGTTAGCCAAAAACAAAGAAATGAAAGAAAGTATTAAAAAATTCCGAGATGAAGCCAAGAAGCTGGAAGAGTCAGACGCGCTCCAGGAAGCCCGAAGGAAATATGTGAGTGCCTCAGCTTGTGTGTCTGTCGCGGCCGATGAATGAATGTCCAGAGCCAGCAGTTCCCCAGCTCCCAGACAGCCAACCTAGCTCAGGGCCAGCCTAGCTCAGTGCCAGTGCAGCCCGTGTGGACGTGGCTCACTGCACCCAGGGAACAGAAGTGGCATGGCCGGGCCTCCCGGTCCTGCGGAGAGACCAGGCACCGAGCTGGTCTGCAGCCCTCCTGACCATCTCCATCAGAGCCTGCCGCTGTAATTTTTTTAAATCGATTTTTGTGGTGAGCATATAGCTAACAAAACCTGGGCCATATGAACAATTTCTACATGTACAGTGGCATTGGAGTCCTGGTGTGGCACTGTACGACAAGCACTGGATGGAGAGGTCGGTGGTTCAAACCTAAACCCTATACAGGGTCACTGTGAGTCAGAACCGACTCTGCGGCCCTTCTCAACCACAATGGTGGCATTGGTTGCATTCTTCAGGTTCGGCCACTTTTCCTGACCAGATGGCCTCTTGTTGCCAGGGAAACAGGATGAGCAGGGGGCTGTGTGGGGGCTGTCTTCGTTCCCTCGTGCTGCCCTAACAGAAAGACCCCAAGTGGATGACTTCCACGACCAAGTGTACTGTCTCATGGTGGGGGTGCCGGCTCTTGGGCAGTCCTGGAGCCTTCCTGCTTCTGCTCCTCCTTTCTGGGGGATCCTCATGTGGCGTTTCTCCCTCGTTTTCTATCTCAAACGTGTGTAGGACCCACGCTGCTCGATACAACCTCGCTAACATGGCAAAGGGACAGCAACCTCAAGGCAGGGGTTAGGGTCCCAGTGTATTCGGGGGGACCCAGTGTAGGCCGGGGGGCAGGGCAGGCAATGCTGAGATACTTTGAGGACAAGAGGGGTGGCACAGGATTGTCCTCGCACCCATGGCTGGGAGCTCCTGTGTCCAGGAGGGAGCTGAGCTGCCCTGAGCTGCCCCGTGCTGCCCCAGGCCTGGGGCTGGTGGTGAGACCCATGTTAACAGTTGGCTTGTAACAAAAAGAAACAATGTATTTTCCCTAGAAAACCATCGAATCTGAGACAGTCAGGACCAGCGAGGTGATCAGGAAGAAGCTAGGAGAACTCACAGGCACTGTGAAGGAGGTGAGCTGGGCCACCAGCCCAGGCGCCGCTCCGCCTCCGGGCACAGCTGGTGCTCGTCTTCAGAGGGGCCGGCTCCCCGGAGCGCCATCAGGCCTGGGGCTGACTTGGCAGGCGTGGAGCTGGAAAGGGTGTGGGTGGCCAACGGGGGCGGATCCAGCGTGCTCGGTGGCAACTGTGACGCTGTGAGGGAGGCTGCCAGAATGAAAACTTGACACTCCTGACACAGGAGACAGTCAGGTTGTAGGTCCATCCTGTGTAGGCTGGTAACAGGATGGCGCTTTCCCTTCACTTTAAAGATGACGAGGGAGGCAGCAGGTGAGGGCGGAAGTTTCCAGGCCTCTGGCCTGGGCAGAGGGGCAGTTCTAAGCTTCGGTTCAGTGTTGGATCCACTCCACCTGCAGATGCCTATGGAATCTGGGGAGCTGAGCAGTTCTTGTGGCCCAGAGGGCTCAGGCTGACTGCCCATTTTTGGGAGAGGCCTTTACCCAAGGGACCAAACCCAAGCCCGCAGCCACTGCACACAGACCTGGGGTGGGGGTGGAGGGACAGACAGACGGGTAGACAAATAAATTATTAGCCATTCAGCTGCCAACTGAAAGTGGTGACTCAAGTCCACCTAGAGGCTCCTCAGAAGAAAGGCTTGGTGACGTGCTTCTCTGATGCCCTGTGGGCACACCTCTGCTCTGACCCACCTGGGTGCCACGAGTCCAGTGGTGTTTGGTGGTCTGGAGTGCACTGGATGAGGCTCAGGGTTTGTGACCCACTGGACTTAAGGTCACCTGGTCTAGGCCTTTGGAAAGCTGGTCTGGCCTCTGCTCTAGGGGCTCCCCTGGCTCTCCAGGGTCTGCGCTAACGCCTCCCTGTGCTCGCTCACTCTGTCTCAGTAGAGTCTTGACGAGGTCAGTAAAAGTGACTTTGGCCGGAAAATCAAGGAGGGCGTGGAAGAAGCAGCTAAGACGGCCAAGCAGTCGGCTGAGTCGGTGTCCAAGGGCGGGGAGAAGCTGGGCAGGACCGCAGCCTTCAAAGCCCTCTCTCAGGTGAGTACTGGACTGGTCACACCTGCTGTGACTGGACTTGGAGACTCAGGCCAGAGTTCACATCTTTGAGGGCTGGGTGAGGGGTAATAGTGGTCCTGGTGGGAAAGGCCCACCCCAATCCCCTGGGGGCTTGGCAAGGCAAGGCGAAACCCCACCTGCTCTGAGCGTCGGCCCCTTTGGCTTTCGTCCCTAAACCAGAGCTCTGGTGGGTCAGGGGTTCATTCTGTGTCTGAGGGTTGGTCTTGGCTGTGTCTGTGCTGGTCACGAGCCACACGATGGTCAAGTTCCTGCAGTCAGGCTTGCGGAGCCGGGAAGGAGTGAGTGACAGCATGGCCCACGGTGGCAGGGAGCCCATGGGACACCTTCTAAGGAGGAGGCTGGGCCGCAGGAGTGCTGCAGCCCAGGGAAAGTCCCCAGACAAAGAGTCCCGCAGGGCCCATCTGACAGTCCCATGGGCCACTCTGACAGGTTTGAATTCATCTCGGGAATGGCCTGGAGCTGGTGACAGGTGTCCAGGCATCCGGGAGGGAGGTCAGCTGGAATGTGAGGAGAGGCAGGGGCTTACAATGACCCTCAGGTTTCCAGGGAGAGCGTGGAGTTGACCTTGGAATCTGGCGTCAGTTAAAATGTGTTTGCTGCTCATTGAGAGAGACAGTAGAGGAGCAGGGGGAAAGAGGCCCACCCTCAGCCCCTGCTCTTTGTCTCCCTGGGGCCTTAGGAAGATGGCACTGAGGCTGGAACATGGGTGGTCAGGCCTGAGGCCGGGTAGGGGCTGTGCAAGACGCACTTCCCAACTCGGGGTGTTCCCCACAGGGTGTGGAGTCTGTGAGGAAGGAGATCGACGAGAGCGTCTTGGGCCAGACAGGGCCCTACCGGAGGCCGGAGCGACTCAGGAAGAGGACCGAGTTCGCGGGAGAGAAAATCAAGGAAGACAAAGTGTTTGAGCCTAACGAGTATGTGGGGGAGTGACTGAGGGGAGCAGGGGGCTGGCTTCCACTCTCAGGACCCTGAAGACCCCCACCCCAGCAGGCTTCACCTGCCTGTTTGCTTCTCCTCTGGCTTGGCTTCTTTGGAGGAATTTGTGGGCAGGAGGAGGGTGGAGACTAGGAGTCTGTTCGCTGCTCCCCCACCTGACCTTGCTCCCCAGTGGTGTATTGGGGCCCCACACACACACTCATCCATCCACTCGTCCACCCTCACCCCCCAGGGAGGCCCTGGGTGTCGTGCTCCACAAAGATTCCAAATGGTACCAGCAATGGAAGGACTTCAAGGACAACAACGTGGTCTTTAACCGTGAGTCTGGCCGGAGTGGCAGTGGGGAGGGAACTGTGAGGTCACCACAGGGGACCAGGGCTCCAGACAGGAGCCTGGTCACTTCCTCAGGCCCTGGCTCCCCAGACCTATCACCCTGTGTGAGGGTGCCTCTGTGGGTCAAAGTCACTGCCTCCCCGGGGCTGGCCTCCTACCTCTCTAGTGGTGCAGGCGCCGGCAGAGGGAACCCTGGCGCTGGTACTGTGTTAGTTCCTGGCCCACAGAGGGCATCTGGGCTCTCGAGGCAGATGGGATGTGGGGTTCCCGGGTGTCCTGCACGCTAGTCCCGTGAGGGTCACCGAGGCCTGTGTTTCCTTTGTAGCCCGCAGGTGGCACCTCATATTTACACAGCCCCCCTAGGCCCCTGTGGAGGCGCCATGGCGGCCTCGCCAGGTAGGTGGGCAGGCCCCGCCGCCCGAGTACTGAGAACACAGGCTCAGAGCTGTGGAGGCGGGGCGAGTCTGGAGGGGCCCCCAGCCCTGAGCCTCCCCCCTCACCTCCCAGGCTTCTTCGAGATGAAGATGAAATATGACGAGAGTGACAATGCGTTCATCCGCGCATCCCGGGCGCTTACGGACAGGGTCACAGACGTGCTGGGTAAGTGAGTGAGCTGCCCCCAACCCAGCCAGCCACTCAGGGGGCCCGGCCCTTATGCCCTCCTCCTGCTCTGCCTCCCAGGGGGTCTCTTCTCAAAGACGGAGATGTCCGAGGTGCTTACGGAGATCCTGCGGGTGGACCCCGCCTTTGACAAGGACCGCTTTCTGCAGCAGTGTGAGGATGACATCATCCCCAACGTCCTGGAGGTGGGTGCCGCCTCTGCCCGCCTCAGCTCCTGTGGGTTGTGCTGGGGGCCTCGTCTCCACAGGCCTCCCGGCTCTGACGCAGGCGGGCTGGCTCTTGGCCCTGTCTTGCCTCGACCCCAGCCTTTGGGCAGCCTCGCTGGTTGTGTCTCTTCCCCCTGTGGTCACCACTGCCTGTGCTCTCGAGGTTGCTGAACGGGGCCAGTGGGTCCTCAGGAATCCCGAGATGCTGCAACAGGGCTGGGTGCTTGGATGGCCTGAGGCGCACTCAATGGGCACCCATGCTCCGGGCAAGACACAGCTGCCGCCAAGGGTCGTGCCACAGACAGATGTCTCCCCACGTCCGGGGTCCCACTACTCACCCTCTTCCCCCCCTCCCTGGGTAACAGCAGGGCAGGTGCCTTACTCCAGGCACATGGCTGCACGTGATCCCCATAGTCTCTGCCCATCTCTGCCAATGTCTCCTGGACCTAACTGGAGACTGGCTCCTTGCACGACTGTCATCAGAGCCCCAGGACACTCCCCACCCTGCTTGGATTCCTGTCCCTCTCCCAGCCCCCGTGTCCTGCATTTGAAGGGCCTTTTTCTCAGGCAGGGCTGTGAGGTCCCAGGTGCAGCTGCCAGTTTCTGGAGTGAGGGCTGGCTGCCCAGGCCACTAGCCAACCTGTAGTTCCCACCTCTGGACACTGCCCTGGTCTTCACTGTCCCTGCTCCTCTACCCTACCCTCAGCTACTGCCTATCCAGCCCCGCCTCAGGTCCCCCACTGGCAGGGAGCCGTCTGCCCTGGAGTGGGCCAGGCCAGCCTCCCTCCTTCTCACCCAGCAGGCTGCCCCCAGGTTTCCCCAGCCTCCACACCTGCCACAAGAGCCAGGGCTGCACCTGCGGGCTGGGCCGGGTGTCTTCCCTGCAGGAGACCTCAGGACTGCTGCTGCCTGGAGTCCCCCTCCCCCCGGCCGGGTCATCTCCCACTGAGCTTTGTCTCTTTCCCTTTTTAGGCCATGATTGCTGGGGAGCTGGACATTCTCAAAGACTGGTGCTACGAAGCCGTGAGTCCTCTCTCCTTTCAGGCCTAAAGAGGCAGCTTTGTCTGTGTGGAGTAGGAGAGGCCGGCCTGGGCCCCTGCAGGGAGGGGAGTGGGGTCCTTGTCTGGTCACACTTGGCTCCTACGGCCTTCAATCATCTGCATCTGTGGAGTGGGCCGCACAGAACCTGCTGGAACATTCAGGGTCAAGAGTGGTGTGGTGGCCAGGGAGCTGCCTGCTGAGTGCCCAAGAGGTCACCTGGGCTGGGGGCCCTTTTTGTGTCCACCATTGGCATCTGGAACTGTTGGCAGGTGCCAGGGATGGAGAGGCAGGACACAGCTGCCCGTTTCGGGGGCCTTTTCGGTCTTCTTCCACTTTGGTCTGTCTAGTGAAGAGCGCTTCTGTAGGTGAGGACTGAGCTCTGAGGGCTTTTGTTCCATTCTGTGTCCTGTGTCCAGGAGTGAGAGCTACAAAGCAGCCCCTGCTGGGGCCAAGAAACAGGGAGTGAATGAGGAGGACAGGGAGGGACTGGAGGGTACGAGATGTCCCCATCCCATCATTCCCCCTCCTGTTATCAGGGAGGGATGCCACAAGGAGGAGCAGGCTGAGGGCACATCCCTCCCTTGACCCTTGGCTGGTCTCCCGGAGTCTCAAGTCAAAGGCACACATGCAAGCAGCAAGTGCTCTAGACACCCATTAATGAGCCCCACTGAGGAATTCCCGAAACAGCGGGGCAGGCCCTGGCTATCCCCCTCCCCCCCAGTGAGGCACAGGGTCACAGAGCTGCCCCATCAGTGCTGGTTCCTTGGAGACAGCCAGGTGTCCCCGCCACCTCTCACCCGACTCGCTTCCTGCCCCGTGGTGGCCTCTGTATGAAGCAATCCAGTGTTGGGGCTAATTCGATCCTGAAGCCAGCTCACAAGCAGCCTGAACAAACCCTAAGAGAGAATGTCAGGCTGTTACGGTGACTAATCCCGCCGGCATGGGGGGGCTTTTGGACTTGGCTTTGGGACCGGGAGGGTGGGGCTGCTAATCTTTGCCACATGGTGCTCTGCTGGGACCCCTGGAAATGCAGCTGAAGCCTCAGCCGCCCACACCAAGGGGCGGGTGACATGTCGTCTTTAAGAGACGCAGCCGCTAGGGTTAACACTGTTTTCGTATTTTTTGTTTTTTCCCTCAGCAGAGCTGTTACTTCCATAAAAAGCATATGCTGTTGGAATATCTTCCACCACAGTTGTCTGCCAAGCTCAGAGGCGCCTCTAGTGAAAACACATGTGGCCACACGTGTCCTGGGGATGGGATGGGATAGAGCTGGCATTGTGGGGCTATGCTTGTCAATTAGGGCTGGCGTCTTATGGAGGATGGCATTCCTGCCCCAAAAGGAGGGTAAAGGAGGCATTTTAAGGGGGTGCAGATGGTGAGTGCACTCGGCTGCTGACCAGAAGGTTGGTGGTCTGAGTCACCCACTCCAAGGTGCCTTGGAAGAAATGTCTGACAATCTGTTTCCAGAAAAACTCAGCCACTGAAAACGCTCCAGTGTAAAGTTCTGTTCTGACACATGTGGGGCTCCCACAAGTCGGAGTTAACCTTGGCAGGTGTTTTGGTGGTCGTGTTTTGTGGGGTTTGTTTTTTTTTTGTCTCCCGGACAACGCGCTGCCTGGGACTAGCCATGTGCACAGGGACTGGGCAGTAGGAAGCAGTCAGGTGGTTTCAGAGCAACCCAAATCCTGGCCGAGGCGGGAGACCCAGGCCAGGGTTCAGAGTGAGGTGAGCCGGCCTGCCCCTGGCGAGCTTCAGACAGCTTTCTGGGAGAGGTGCCCACGGTGCTGATTAATGCTGCTCTGGCTCACTAGTCTTGACACTGGGCTGTTTTCCTAATAAAGGGACACGGGGGATCCAGGCCAGGCCAGCACACTGGGGCACTAGCTCCTCGGCCTGTAGGCGTCCGCCCCTTCTTGGTCAGGGCACACCAGGACCTGCCTGCCTGTCTGTCTGCCCAGGGGGCCATCTTAGAACCTGCTGCCAACCCCAGGACCCCCCAGCCCCAGCTCCATCCCCACAGGTATATCTGTGGATCTTTTGTTGTAGACCTACAGCCAGCTGGCCCACCCCATCCAGCAGGCCAAAGCACTGGGCCTCCAGTTCCACTCCCGCATCCTGGACATCGACAACATCGACGTAGGTGCCACTGCTTGAGGCTGACCTGGGGGTGGGGGTGAGGCCTGCAGGGGGCTCTCTGCTAGGGACCAGAAGGGTCCCTGGAGTTTGGGACCCTTACAGGGTTGGGAGGGGGGCGGGGTCAGTCCAGACAGGGAGGTTGTCAAAACAAAACAATCCTGCATGGGATTAGCAGGGTGCTCTGCTAGGGGGTGCTGGAGGAATGCCAGTCCTGGGTGGTCTAAAAATGGTGCTGAGCTCTCTGTAACTGAATAACCTTCAGGCCTCTAGTCATAGCTTCGGAAACCCTGTGTTTGGAGTGTTTTAAAAGCTGAGGCAAGCCAAGGCTGCCCAGAGTCTTGAGTTCTCCCGGCCCATTCCCCCCACCCCCCAGGCATTATGTCCCTCCCTTTCCTGGGACCCAGACCCAGCTCCCCTTTCCCTGTGAGCATGTCGCCCAGCCCACACTGCCCAAACCTGGGCAGAGAAGCCCCCGGGGCCTGGGGGCACCTCAGTGAGCTCAGCTTCCATCCCAGCTGAGAGCAGGGATTTGTCCACAGAAGGGGCTGATAAGAAATCCCAGACCCAGAAGTGGACCAGAGGGTTGAGGAGGATTCATTCAGGGCTGGAAGCGGACAGGGGCCGTGAGAGGGTAGGGGCGCTCTGATGCCTGTCGCCCTGCCCTGCAGCTGGCCATGGGCAAGATGATGGAGCAGGGACCCGTGCTGATCATCACCTTCCAGGCCCAGCTGGTGATGGTAGTCAAGAACCCAAAGGGCGAGGTGGTTGAAGGTGATCCGGTGAGTGGGGCAGCCTCTAGCCGCGCAGGGCTGGGGGGGTTTTGAGCTGGGAGGGACCCCAGGCTGCCCTGGGGTAGGGTCCTTAACAACAGCCTGTCTCTGCAGGACAAGGTGCTACGCATGCTGTATGTGTGGGCGCTCTGCCGGGACCAGGATGAGCTGAACCCCTATGCTGCCTGGCGGCTCTTGGACATCTCAGCCTCCAGCACCGAGCAGATCCTCTAAATGGGGCCCCACCACTGGAGACTCTGGGGCTGGCCCAGCACACTATGGACACATGAGGGATGGATGCCAGGCAGAGCCAGCAGGGCACTATGGAAAGTGACAGGTGCCTGACACCCTCCCCACGGCACCAACCTCCGCACCTTCCCCACTAGTGGGGACGACTGACAGGCTGACCAGAGGGGAGCACAGGCCCGGACAGTGCCAAGAGACCCCGGAGTCCTCTACGGGCAGGGTGGTGGAGCCTAGGCCCTGCACCCACCAGCCACTTCAACCAGGCCATTTAGTTCCATGTTTTTTATTTAACAGTGCCCTTACTTGTATGTGCGTCCCAGACTGGAGATGACAATAAAATGCCAGATTCTGAAGGGAAACTTGGATGGCTCCAGCCCATCTCTGGGGCAGGTGGGGACTGGGCATGGGGTCCACAATCAGAATCACTGAGGGAACTGCAATCAAAGAGGAGACCAGGACGGCAGTGACAAGAAGGAAAGTCGCTGTTCATTACTCATGGTGACCCGTGTGGGCAGAGCAGAACTGTGCTCCATAGGTTCTTCAAGGCTGTGACCTTTCGGAAGTAGATGGCCACACGTTTCTTCAGAGTCATCTGGGTGAACTCAAATGCCCACCTTGAGGGTTGCAGCCGATGAAAGCTTACACTACCCAGGGACTCCCCTAAGGAAAGACCAGGGGCAGTTCCTCCCCTAGTGGCCTGACCGAGTTTGTGAGGATGAGGGTGCTTGTAGGGATGGGGAAGGGCAGCTGAGGGCCTGGGCACTCTTGTGGACCTTCGTTGGCCCCTTGCTAGATTGCTCTGCATTACGGAGACCCGCGCGGGGTCATACACGCCGCTCCCTGCGCAGCCTCCGCCCCTCACGGCCCCGCCCCCGTCGCCATGGGAACAGCCGCTGCTGCCCCGCTCGCGCGCAGCTCGCCTGCCTTGGTCTCCGCGGTTTCAGGGGCGGGTAGGGTGGGCTGAGCTGGAGCCGGGGACGCTGTTCTCGCCGCCGCCACCACCGCTGGGGAGAGGCCTAAGCGGAGCCGGCGCGGGTCCTAGGAGAGCGCAGCAGCCAGCTGGTCCGTCCCTGTCCAGGTCCAGCCCTGGGTAAGGGGCGCGCGGGACCGGAGGCGGTGGGGGGAGGGCGTCTCCGGGCCGCCGGAACAAAGGGATCTAGACGGGGACTCGCCCCCGCGCGCCGCCCGAGCCGCGGCCGCGCATCGCACCTGTTGTGCGCGGGCCGGGTATCCGAGGCTCACCCAGCCCGCTCCCAGGATCCCCCTTCTGCTCGCGCGCCTGGACTTGGGTCCCCTCGTGGCGGTGGTGGCGAGCCCGCAACCCGGCATGGGCGTGGCCCGGGGAGAGAGGCGCGCACGGGTAACGGGACCCGGCAAGGTGAAGGTGTGGCGGAGGGGCGGGCGGGCGTCACTTCATCCCCGCCCTGGCGGACCTCCCTTCCTTTCCGCAAGGCGCGCGGCGATGTGAGCCATGAGTGCGACGTGGACGCTGTCCCCGGAGCCGCTGCCGCCGTCGACTGGGCCCCCGGTGGGTGCTGGCCTGGACGCGGAGCAGCGTACGGTGTTCGCCTTCGTGCTTTGTCTGCTCGTGGTACTGGTGCTGCTGATGGTCCGCTGCGTGCGCATCCTGCTCGACCCCTACAGCCGCATGCCCGCCTCGTCCTGGACCGACCACAAGGAGGCGCTTGAGCGCGGGCAGTTCGATTACGCGCTGGTTTGAGTGGGGCGGTGCCCCGGGCTGGCCTCCTCCGGATCTCCGGGATCTGGCCTGACCCGGGGCGCCGCCAGACCTGGTCTGCGCTCAGGACCCCGCCCCAGAGCCCCAGCCTCTAGTGGGTATTAGAAGAAGCCCCGCCTTCCCTCTCACACCTCTCTACCCGAGCTGCGCCTCATGCCTTTATCTGCCCTGTGGTATCCTCGGTCCATCTCCCACCCACCTGGCTAGCACCCAAATCAAAGCCCAGGCTGGGAGGCCCCCAAGTGTGTAGGTGGCTGTGCGCTGTCCTTCCACCAGACATGCCTGCCAAGGTCTATTTCTGGAGTTGGGGGCCCTCTCATCCCTTCGCCCTGTCCTCACTGCCCGCCTAAGTGTTGAGCGCCTCCTCAGGCCCTGGCCTGTCTGGCAGGCACTCAATGTGCCCTGTCCAGTCTGCCTTGAGATGGAAGCTCACGCCAGGGTCCTGCCGAGGGAGTCACCATGTCCGATGCTGTGTTCAAGACACGTCCTGGCCTCCGTGAACGCTGGCAGGCTGACTCCTGCCCTCAACCCAAGCCCCTGTGCAGGTCAGCGCCCCCTGTCTCCTCTTCATCACCCTGCTGCCTCAGGCCTCTCCTCCCATCACTCCCCTTTTGCTCCTTTCTGTTACGGGGCCGGTGATGATAATAAAAGTTATTATTGAGCGCCTACTACATGCCTGGTGTGGCTCTGCGGGTTAATGTCATGGACCACAAGGACCAGCCAGCTCCTTGGAAACCCTATATGTGGTTGCTGAGTCGGAACTGACGCTAGGGCACTGAAGACGACATGCCAAGCAATATGCTGAATTAGTATCCCCTGCAGAGCCTGTTGATGACCCAGAGCTTGAACTAGATCCTGTCAGCATTGCCACTCTATAGGCCAGGGCACTGAGGTACGGCAAACTGAGTGACTTGTCCAGAGCTCAAGTTAGCTGGGTGGAATCCCATCTCCGTCTGACTTCTGCATAGCCTTTCCAGCTGAAACCCAACTCATCCAACACCTTTTCTCCAACTTTGGGTCTAAAGGTGGACCCATCTCAAAGCCTCCACGTCCCCCAGCTCCAAAGAGAATCCCTTGTCCTATGTGGGATGGACTTGGCCTGCTGAGTATTACAGGGATCTGGTGCCCTCTGCGCACTGAGATGGTTTCCAAGAACTGGCCCCGCCTCCCGACGCTGGGACCACGCTTAGCCCCCAATTCCTCTGCCCACCACTATTGTACGGGCTTAGAAGCCGTGGTTGTGGTGCTGCAGGGCCCCGCCCACGGAGCACGCTGGCACAGCTCCCCCCAACGCCGCTGGGGAGATATTGTGTGCCCCTAGGGAGCCGTGTGCAATGTGTGGGGGAACCGCGTTCTATAAAAGGCAGGCTCCGCGGGCAATTTACCAGCTCTGTCTAGAATTAAGCTTGGAGGGAGGGCCGTGCCTCCTGAGAGTGCCTGGTTCCTGCTCAAGAACCCTGGTTCTCCCACACCTGCCTCCACCCACAAGGCAGGTAAAGCTGATGAGGGGGCGCCCAGGAAGGGAAGCCCAGCAACACATCCAGGAATTGGTCATCTGTTGGCTCTCCTGTCTGCAGTCCCTTCCCCTCAGCCTTGTGGAAGGTCACCTCAAACCGAAAACTTCGAGACCCCTATCCCACTGCCCCATCTGCCCTTGAGCCACTTCCACACTGTCTCTAAGGGTGCCCCCACAGCCTAACCTTGAGGTCACTGCAGGCCTCTTGGGCCTCCCTCCAGACACAGCCCCTCCTAGGCTGCCATGAATGAGTCTGCACACACACGACAGTGTCACCACCCACATGCCCACCTCAACTCGAAGGGGAAGCAAGCACAAGCAAGGCAGACTCGCAGGAACTTTATTCACTACGAAGGGACGTGTGACAGGGCACCGGAAGACCCCTTCTGGGTCTGAGGAGTCAGTGGGGTATGAAAACCAAGAGGCTGAGAAGCGAAGGAGTCGAGGAGGCTTGTGTGGGCGGGTTTACTGTACTGAATGTCAGCTCCAGGAGCAGAAGGGGAGAGGCCGCCTGGCCAATGTCTGCAGCCTCCGTCCTCCAGGTCCCCAATGCTGAGTTGAGTGGTCAGGCCCCTCCACCACTGTGTTTCTGTTCCTGACACCTCAGTGTCTAGGGCATCTGCTCGGCTGGCTGCAGCTGGCCACCTCATTCAAAAACCTTCCACCAAGACGAAGTTCAACAACCCTGTGCCAAGCCGAGTGGGACTAGGGGCACAATGTCCAGGTTTGTCCTCTGTCAATCAGGGCCCTCACCTGGCTGGGGTGGCCACCTGACCCAGAAGCTCCAGGGGTACCAGGAAGGGATTCAAGGGGCAGACCCCAGCTGCTTGCCACGCCAACCTTGGTTCACTGGTCCCAGCGCTCTCAGGGGCCTGGGGAGTAGCCTGGCTGGGCTGTTCATGCCCGTCTGTGCCCATGTCCTCAGTGCCAGGCCCCGGGCTCCCCTCGGCCGGGCTGGGCTGGGGCGCCATCAGGCGCTGGTACATAGCAGTCATGTGCTCTGCCAGGGCTGTGCAGGGCAGGCGGCTCAGCTCCTCAGGCAGTGACAGGAGCAGGTCCAGTACCACAGAGGACTCTGGGGGAAAACGGAGAGTTAGTGGGGGGCCGGCCATGCCAGCTGGAACTCCTCCCCAGGGCCTGCACCCACACTCACCAGCTGCAGACAGCTCGGGTCCTGGGCCGCTTCGGGAGAAGGATGCCAGGTACTTGTAGATCTTCTCAAAGTCCACAGTGAAGTCTCCAGGGGAGGACGGGCCAGCTGAGGGCTCGGGAGCAGGGGGCCCAGCACTGGACACCTCTTGCCCTCTGGGGGTGTTGAGGAGCAGCTTTCCACGGGCCTGGGTGGGCTTCGGTGGCTGGGAGTGTAGGAGGCTGAGGGGCTCGGTGGCGGCAATGGTGAGCACCTGTTAGGCATCATCATCAGAGAAAACAAAGGGCAGCCCCGCCCGCCCATCTTCTCACCAAACCCTTCCTATCATCCCAAGGAGGACAGGAGCTGTCCAGGGCCTGGCCAAGGGCACAGGGCTGGTCCATCGGATTTGGACTCAGGTGTGCCCTTTGCCCCCGGGAACCTCCAGCCTATCTGGAGTACGCCATACCTGGGAGAAGGCAGCCGCCAAGCCTTCCTCTAGCGGGCCCGTCAGCTTTTCGGCTAGCTCGGTCCACACCTGTGGGGACAATTGGAAGGTACACAGCTAGTCCCACCTGAAGATCCCACAGCCAGGTTATCCCCTCAGTCCCCAAACTAAGCCTCAACTTAACTAGCACCTTACCTCTATAGGGGCCGGGGGCTGGCGCCGTCGACTCAGTGGGCCACCTGGATGTAACTTCTGAATGGCCTCCCGGGTCACACGGCCCTTCAGCTGCTTGAGGAAGTGCTGGACCTGGGAAGAGGACAGCAAGTTTTGCGGGGAGAAGCCAAAGCTTCCTGCTCAGGGTGACTTCCTGGCCCAGTCCTGTCAAAAAGAATCCTCAAGGACAACTGCTTCCTAGCCTCTGGTTAGCTGGTGTTCAGAGCCTGCCTTAGTGATTCCCGGATCTTGAATCACCACCCCAGAGCCAGACCAGCTACAACGGGAAGATGAATGGCTCTGACTGCTCTGGTATTCCCGGCCCTAAGCTGTTAAGTGCCATCCAGTCAATTTTGAATCACAGCAACCCTGTATAGGGTCTTGGAGAGAACCTGGTTGTTTTGAACTGCCGATCTTGTGGTTCCCAGTCCAGTGCCAATCTTACAGCGCCACATCAGGAGTCCATGCTAAGTGACACCCTATACCGCCTCACCTTCTTCCTCCACTCAGCCCATTTCTACCCCAATTCCGTCCCGCGGGTCTCCCGGCTCCCCTCCCAGTGTGCCCCGGCCTTCAGCCTCGCCCATTTCTGGACCACGCCTCCAAGCCCCACTGACTCGTCTACTTCTTAGGCCCCTCAGCCTCAAGCATCCAGCCCAACTCAACACCAGCCCCGCCCAGCTTCGCATTAGCTCCGCCCCAGGCTTACTACGGAGCTCACCCGCCCCTCTGCCTCCCACACCACTAGCTCCGCCTCTGTCTCGTATTAACCCCGCCCCATCTATAAGTAGCTTTGGTAGCGTAGTGGTTACGAATCGGGCTGCGAACCTTAAGGTCAACAGTTCGAAACTACCAGCTGTTCCACAGGAGAAAGATGAGGCTTTCTGCTCCCGTAAAGATTTACAGCCTCGGAAACCCTGTACAGGGTCACTATGGGTTGGAACCGACTCGACGGCACTTCACAACAACAACATATATATTGTAGGAGTTCTGGGTAGGAATTCTGGTGTGGCGCAGTAGGATGATGCACTGGACCGCAAGGTCGGTTTGAACTGCAAGGTCGATGGTTCAAATTCACCATCACTCCTTGGAAACCCTATACAGGGTCGCTAAGAGTCGGAATCATTTCAACAGCACGTAACAACCTCTATACTGTAGGATCAGCCCTGGACTTCAGGTGTGGCGCTGTAGGATCAGCACTGAACTGCCAAGGCTGCCAAGGTTGGCAGTTCAAACCCACCAGCTGCTCCCTTCATAAACCGACTTCTTGTTGTTAAGTACCGTGGAGTAAGTAGGTTCTGACTATCTTTACCAGGGCAGACCACCTCATCTTTCTCCCGCGGAACGGCTGGAAGTTTCGAACTGCTGACCTTGAGGTTAGCAGCTCGATTCGTAACCACTACGCTACCAGAGCTCCTTATAAACCGACTAGACCGCACTTAACATTTATACTCCGGGGCTTGCCCCGGCCCCGCACCTCTGCCCCATCTTTACTCCCGAGCTCGCCCTGTCCCTCAGCCTCGGTCCATCGCGCCCCAACCTCGAGCAAACTTCGGGACACACCAATGCCTCCTCTCGCGGATCCGCGCCTGGACTTCTGACCCCTCCAGCCCGACCTTCGCTTCCTCGCCTGTTCCTGTCCCTCACCTCGTCCTTGCTACGGCCTGGTAGCCCCCGAGCCAGCTCCGCGGCGTCCGGTTCCGGCTGGCCTCGCCGCGCCTGCAGTAGTCGCAATAGCTGCCGCTTCTCGCGGACGCTCCAGGCCGCGGGGCCGGTCACCGTACCCAGGTAGCGGGCCGGGGCCACTCGCTGCCGCGGCGGTGGCTTCATTTCGTCCAAACTGCGTGGGCGCACGCAAACTACTTCCCTGGGGGGCGGAACTACGGAGGCTGCCGGTACCAGAAAGCACCGCGCCGAGACGGGCGTAATGGGGGCGTGGCTCCTTGCTTTCTGCGGGAATTGGTCCTCCTCAGTTGGGAAATGTAGAGCACATAAAAACTGTGCTGGAATCTTGTCTACGGCGCACACCACCTTGCCCTATTTTATCTCTTTCTCAATTTGAAGTGTGATCAGGAGCTGAGACCTTGGACTTCCATGAAACTCCGACTATGTGTTTAAAGAGCCCTGATGTTTCAACAGTTACCCACTTAGCTGCCAAGTGTTTGAACCCACCTAGTGGTTCTGCGGGAGCAAGACCTGTTCCCATAAAGATTACAGTCAAAACGGAAAACTGATTTGCTCTGTAAACCTTCACCCAACTCACAGTAAAAAGTTTAAAAAAAAAAAAAAGAATAAAGATTACAACCAAGAAAACCCCATGGGCAGTACTACTGTGTCATATGAGGTTACTATGAGTCAGTGGCACCTAATATGCTTTGCTTTGTGTAGAGGTGCGGACCTTAGCTGGAAGGCACCGATTGTGGAGTTGGACAGTCCTGTGGACCTTGGGTAAGTGATTTGACCTCATTGAGCCTGTTACCTCATCTGTAAAATGGGACTGTTGTTAAGAGTCGTCAGTTATTTCCGACTCATAGTAATCCTGTAAATGGTTTCCAAGGAGCGGCTGGTAGGTTTGAACCACTGACCTTTTGGTTAGTGTTGTTGTTAAGTGCCGTCGACTCGGTTCCGACCCATAGCGACCTAGAACAGGGTTTCCAAGGCTGTAAATCTTTATGGGAGCAGAAAGCCTTATCTTTTTCCCACTGAGCAGCTGGTAGTTTCGACTGTTGACCTTGTGGTTCGCAGCCCAATTCGTAACAACTACGCTACCAGAGTTCCTTGTGGTTAGTAGTTAGTGCTTATCCTACAGTGACACACCAAAAATGTGATAGTTATACTGCCCTAGGGGTTTTTTGGTTGTAAGCTTTATTTTTTAAGCTTTTTACTGTGAATTGGGTGAAGATTTACAGAGCAAATACATTTTCCAGTCTTTTATGGTCTTTCCTTGGGCAGGTCTTCCTCGTGCAGACCCACTAGGTGGCTTCGAACCCTTGGTAGACAAGTGCTTAGCCGTTGAACCACCAGGGTTTCTTAAGCATACAGTCGGAGTTTTACATTAGTCCAAGGTCTCAGCTCCAGTTCAGAAATGACTCGATGGCCCTTCACACAGTCCGGTAATATTCGCTTGCAAGGAAAGGCGCAGCTCAGGCAAAGGGAGCTAGCCGCGCGGTTTAGGAGCAGGGCGGAAGCCAGATCTGCCAGGAAACTGGGATGGCGGCACGAATGAGGGATGGGGGTGGTGAGCAGAAAAGGCCTGGCTTTTCGAGGATCGAAGAAGGCAGGTGCACTGATGTAAAACTAATAATGGGACTGGGGAGAATGGGGAGGGCGCTCTCTGTTTGGGACAAAACACCCTTGGGCCTCCCCTGGGGTCTATGTACTCAGTGTGTACCCACCCACTGTGAGGGAATAAATTCCGATTCATAACGATCCTATAATGGCGGTTATGTGCCGTGGAGTCGGTTCAGACTCATAACGACCCCTGTATAGTGTTTTCGAGGAGCAGCTGGTAAGTTTGAACCACCAACTTTGTGGTTCAAACTGCTTTGCAGTCTGGTGCATTAACCCACAGCAGAGTAAAACTACCCCCCAGGGCTCCCAAGGCTGGAAATCTTTACTGAAGCTGACTCACATCCTTCTCGGGAGGAACAGTTGATGGGTTCCAAGTGCTGACCTTTAGGTTAACAGCCAGCGCTTAGCCACGGAGTCACTTTTGTGCACACGTGAACGTAGGAGATGAGCCCCCAGTTGCCCTTCCAACCCAGTCCTGATCCACCAGATGCGATCATTCTCCATTGGTCCCAGGCTCCGCCCCGGCCTCCCCTTCCTGCCTCCACCCACCCACCCACACACCCACACCCACACCCACACACACACACACACACACACACACACACACCCCTTCGAGCCGTGCGCATGCGCACACAAACTCCAGGATTCCGAGTCCATTGGGAGATTTTTTTTTTATGCCCAGGTGGGAAGAAAGGAAAGGGGAGCAGGTCAGGTGTTGAGAGCTCCTTAGGCCCGAGGGTGAGGACCGTGGATCCAGTTCAGCTAGGAGGAACAGAGAGATGACCGAGGCTGAGTGAGGGAAACTCACTCCCCAAGCCATTTGCTTCCCACCCCATCCATCGTTTATCTCCCTTGTCAGTCTGCGAGCTGGTGTGGGGTGGTAAGTGGGTCTGATTCCTGAATTTTCCTCCCTTGACTATGACTTGTTCAGGGTTTGAGCATCCTTCTCCCCAGTGCCAACAGTCCACCACAGGAGGCCTAGTACATGAGTTCGAATCCCAGCGCCACTAAATACAGTGACCTTTGACAAGTTATTTCATTTCAGAGCGTGTCTCATTTTTCTCTTCTATAAAATGACCGTTATAATAATATCTCCCTGACGACTGTTAATGGGATTAAAGTTAATACGCCTAAAACACTTCAAACAGTGCCTAGCAGAGTTAAGTGCCATTGAGTCGGTTCTGATTCTTAACGACCCTGTACAGCATTCCCAGGGAGCGGCTGTTTGAATTTGAGCCTCCAACCTTGCAGTTCAAACCAACCTTGTGGTCCACTGCTTTATCCTACAGCGCCACACCAGGACTACAGGACCCCCAGTAAGTAATATAAAATGTATTATCACCTCCTCTTCCAACTCCTAGACAAAGACAGACTAGGAAGAAGGAGTGACAAACTACTTCCGAATATTTAGTCACTGAAAACTTTGAGTAGCAGAGAAACACTAACAGATATAGTGCCTAAAATGAGCCCCTCAGGTTGGAAGGCACTCAAAATGGGACTGTGGAAGGGCTGCCTCCTCAAAGTAGAGTTGCCGTGATGACACGAATGGAGTAAAGCCTGCGGGACCTTCATTTGCTCAAAATGAAGAGAAACAGCTGTAAACATCCATTGAAAAGCTAAACATGGAATGTATGAAGTATGAATCTGGAAAATTGGAAGTTGTCAAAAATGAAATGGATGCATAAACATCGATATCTTAGGCATTAGTGAGCTGAAATGGACTGGTGTTGGCCATTTTGAATCCGATGACCACATGGTTTACTATGCCAGAAATGACAAATTGAAGAGGAACGGTGTTGCATTTATTGTCAAAAAGAACATATCCAAATCAGTCATGAGGTGCACTTTTCTGTGATAGGATAATATCCATTCGCCTACAGAGAAGACCAAGGAGTTCTGGTAGCATAGTGGTTACGAATCAGGCTGCAAGCCGCAAGGTCAACAGTTTGAAACTACCAGCTGTTCTGCAGGAGAAAGATGAAGCTTTCTGCTCCTGTAAAGATTTACAGCCTCGAAAACCTAATGCAGGGTTGCTATGAGTCAGAATGACTCCACGGCACATAACAACAACATGGAAACCCAGTTAATACCACTATTATTCAAATTTATGCACCAACCACTAAAGCCAATGAGGATGAAATAGAAGAATTCTACCAACTTCTCCAATCTGCAATTGATCAAAAATATAATCAAGATGTATTGATCATTACTGGTGATTGGAATGCTAAGGTTGGGAGCAAAGAGGAAGGATCATTAATTGGAAAATATGGCCTTGGTGATATAAATGATACTGGAGAATGCATGATAGAATTCTGCAAAATGAATGATTTGTTCATTTCAAATACCTACTTTAGACAGCATAAGGGATGACTATACACATAGACGTCACCAGATGGACTACGTAAAAATCAAATTGACTACATCTGCAGAAAGAGACGATGGAAAAGCTCCGTATCATCAGTGAAAACAAGGTCGGGGCAGACTGTGGAACAGACCATCAATTACTCATATGCAAATTCAAACTGAAGCTGAAGAAAATGAAAACAAGTCCATGAGAGCCAAAATATGACCTTGAATGTATCCCACCTGAATTTAGAGATCATCTGAAGAACAGATTTGATCTTTAAACTCTAAAGACCAAAGACCAGAAGAGTTGTGGGATGACATCAAGAACATCATACATGAAGAGAGCAAAAAGTCATTAAGAAGACAAGAAGGAAAAGGTCAAAATGGATGTCAGAAGAGACACTGAAACTTGCTCTCCAGCGTACAGATGCTAAAACAAATGCAAGAAATGAGGAGGTCCAAGAGCTGAACAGAAAATTTCAAAGATCAGCTCGAGAAGATAAAGCCAAATATTACAATAAAATGTGCAAAGAGCTGGAATCAGAAAACCAAAAAGGAAGAACACGCTCAGCATTTCTCAAGCTGGGGGAACTGAAGAAAAAATTCAAGCCTCGACTTTTGTTATTGAAAGATTCCCTGGGCAAATTATTGAACGATGCAGAAAGCATCAAAAGAAGATGGAAGGAATACACAGAGTCACTGTACCAAAAGGAAATGGTTAATGTTCAACCGTTTCAAGAGGTAGCTTATGACCAAGAGCCAATGATACTGAAGGAAGAAGTCCAAGATGCATTGAAGGAATTGGCAAAGAACAAGGCACCAGGATTGATGGAATAAAAATTGAAATCTTTCAAGAACGTGAGGCGGCACAGGAGGCACTCACTCATCTCTGTCAAGAAATTTGGAAGACAACTATCTGGCCAACTGATTGGAAGAGATCCATATTTGTGCCCATTCCATAGAGAGGTGACCCAACAGAATGCGGAAATCATCGGACAATCTCTTTGATATCCTATGTGAGTAAAGTTTTACTAAAGGTAATACAGAAACGGCTACAATCATACATTGTCAGAGAACTTCCAGAGGTTCAAGCTGGATTCAGAAGAGGCTGTGGAACAAGGGCTATCATAGCTGATGTCTGATGGATCTTGGCCTAAAGCAGAGATTACCTGTGCTTTATTGACTACGCAAAGGCTTTTGATTGTGTGGATCATGACAAGCTATGGACAACATTAAGAAGTATGAGTCTTCCGGAACACTTAATTGTGTTCATGAGGAATCTGTATATGGACCAAGAGGCAGTTGTTCAAACAGAATATGGGAACACTGAATGTTTTAAAATTAAGAAAAGGTGTGAGACAGGGTTGTATTCTTTCACCATACTTATTCAACCTGTATGTTGGACAAATAATCCGAGAATCTGGGTTCTATGAAGAAAAACTTGGCATCAGGATTGGAGAAAGACTCATTAACAACCTGTGATATACAGATGATATAACCTTGCTTGCTGAAAGTGAAGAGAACTTAAAACATTAACTGATGAAGATCAAAGAGCACAACCTTCCATATGGATTACATCTCAATGTAAAGAAAACAAAAATCCTCACCACTGGACCAATAAACAACATCCTTATCAACGGAGAAAAGATTGAAGTTGTCAAGGACTTCATTCTTCTTGGATCAATTATCAACACTCACGGAAGCAGCAGCCAAGATATCAAACGACATATTGTGTTAGGCAAATCTGCTGCACAAGAACTTTTTAAAGTGTTGAAGAACAGAGATGTCAGCTTGAGGACCAAGGTGAGCCTGACCCAAGCTATGGTATTTTCAATAACCTCATATGCATGCGGAAACTGCACAGTGACTAAGAAGAATTGATGCTTTTGAGTTATGGTTTGGAGGAGAATATTGAAAGTGCCATGGGCTGCCAAAAGAACCAATAGATCCATTCTGGAAGAAGTGTAGCCAGAGTGCTCCTTGGAGGCCAGGATGGCCAAAGTTCATCTCTCATACTTCGGACATATTGTCAAGAGGGACCAGTCACTGGAGAAGGATACCAAGTTTGGTAAGGTGGAGGGTCAGAGAAAAAGAGGAAGACCCCCACCCCCAAGGAGATGGACTAAAGCGTGGCAACAGTAGTGAAGTTGGCAGGATCCGGCAGTGTTTTGTTCTGCTGTGCATAAGGTCGCTATGAGTCGGTACCGACTCGATGGCACCTAACAACAACTTCCAACTCCTCCCATGTTACACCCCTCCCCCACTCCCCACCACATACAATTTACCTCTTTCACTGGGATCTCTTGGGCTGGGAGCCGCTGGGCACGGGTGGCGGGCCAGGGAGTGGGGGCGCTGGAAAGAAGAGGAAGACGCTGAAGAGTTGGGTTGCGACGCGTTGGGCTGAGGTAAGAGCTCCCCCTGGGGGTTGTTCCAGGCGTCGCGGGGGCAGGTCTATGGACAGGCAGCCCTAGTTATGTGATCGCTGTGGGCCTGGTGGAGGTCCTGGCGGGTAAGGGTCGGTACCTGAGTGTGCACAAACCAGGCCGAGCCCGGCGGCCAACGCTGCGCCCAATACGAAGGCAGCCACCACCAGCGCCACCACCGGCGCGGGCTCCAAGGCAGCGGAGGTCTGTGCGGCTGGCTCGGGGTGCAAGGCCCTGCCCAGGACGCCCTTTGGAGGCCCTGGGAAGAGTAGAACGCTGAGACTGGGCCAAGGACCCAGGCATCCGCTCCACCCTCCTTCTTTAGGTTCCACTGTGGGGCAGGACTACGTGCTCACGTGGGGGCAGCCGCGGCACTGTGACCATGATGGGCTGCGTCAGCGTGTGCAGGTGAGGGCTGTCGGTGCCCAGGCTCTCGCGGCTGCCACTGCCTGCGCATGCCTCATCCCGAGGGAGACACTTGTGGGTGCGGGAGGGAAGAGGGGGGACATTTGGGCCCTGGGAGATCCAAGTGCCCAGCTCTTCACCCCAGCCACGAGTCCTACCACTAAAAGAACCCAGTGCCATGGAGTTTGTTGCGACTCATGAATCCAGCCCCTAAGATATATAACAAACTCCCAGCCCCGGAGGCACGCCAAAGTGCAGCCTCTCAAGGGGAGGAGGTCACACCACTTCTGCTTTCCCAGCGTCTAAGCTTGCTGAGCCCTTGTGTGGCGCTGTAGTTTAATGCGCCAGACTGCAAAGCCGCTTGAACTGCAAGGTTGTTGGTTCAAGTTCACCAGCCGCTCCTTTGAAACCCTATACAGGGTCGCTAACCGACTCGACGGCACTTAATAACAGAAAGCTTGTTGAATGGTGGCAGTGTGGCAGCTAGTGCGCTGGACTGCAAAAGTTGGCTTGAATCTCAAGGTTAGCGGTTCAAGCTCACTAGTGCCTCCTTGGAAACCTTATACAGGGTTGCTATGAGTCGGAACCGACTCAGCACTTAACAAGCTTCTTGCTGAACCAACAGTGACCGCCCCCCCCCCCATGTGCAACTGAGGAAACGCTGCCTCGCTTTGAACCACCCTTACAGCTGTTAGGTTTGAGACTGAGTACTCGGTGGCCTCCTTCCTCTCCCTTAGAAGGACTCCAGAACTTGCCCAGGATTGTATTCAGTGTCCATCTGAACAACCCGTACCAAACCCACGCCCCCTTGGGGGAATCCCTGCAAACAGCACCCAGCTTTTAAGAACCCAATATTCCTTCACACCCAGACCTCAGAGCACCCTTCTCCAGATCCCAAACCCAGAAGGGGTCTTCTCCCAGCTACCAGAGACCCATTCCACCCCTAGGGATCATGTGCTTGCGCACCGACGTTGGTGGCGGTTGTGTCAGAGAGGCAGTCCGGCGGCAGCGGCTTAGCTGGCAGTGGAGGAACTGCACAGAGGCGTTGAAGACCGGGCGCAGGCGGAAACTGAAGCGCACAGGGAGTGCGACACCGAGGGATGGCGGTGACGGCGGGAAGAGAACCGAGGCGTCGGCGGGACAGCCCCCGCGCAGCAATGCCAGCGCAGGGCCAGGGGCCGGGCGTGAGGACGGTGTCACGGAGCAGCGATGCAGGACCAGACCCCAGCGCCGAGAGGGACGGGCTAGGGCCGCCTGAAGGGCAGGGGTGCCATCAGGCCAGGCCGACCCCGCTCCCACCCGCCCCAGGGGTCCAGTGCTGGCACCTGCACGAACACTCGGCTGTCCGCTGGAACCTCGAGCGGCCCTGCGCGACGTGGGAAGGCATCCTCCGCGTCTGACAGTTCTAGATTGAAGAGGGGCCGGCGCAGCCAGGGTCCAGGCGCCACGGGAAATGGGGGTGCTGACGCAGGAGAAGGTGGTACAGAGGAGGGAAGGCGCACTGCCCCTTACACTTGGGCAAGTGCTTGCTTGTGATGGCAGACGCTGTGTTCAGCCGGGTGCCAGTTCGGCTGGGCTCAAAGTGATAGTTACTGGATACCCCCCAGCTGCTGAAACTGAATGCAGAACTATGCACTCGCCCTTTCCCAACCTGGGCTTCTCCACCTTCAAAACGGGTGAGGGGCCTGTGGTCAGAGAAGGGGTTGAGGAACCCCTGGGTGGAGAACCAGACTGGGTGAATCCAGAGGTCTCTCCCCTACTAGCACTTTCTAGAGGTACAGTCAGGCTGGGTTGGAGAGGGGGTGTTGGCCATCCCTTCCTTTTCTAAAGGTGGGTAGTGTTCCCATCCCCAGAACTCTGGGTACAGCAAACCCAGCCAGGCCACCAAGATCAGGGGCTTTACTGCTTGCCCAGGCTCCTTACCCCAAAGGCTGTGGGGCAGGGGTCAGGCTGAGGCTAAGAGAGAAACATGGTGGCAATGAGAGCCCAAGGGCTGTTGCTTCACAGAAGACCTGAGCTGACTCTCAGCACCCTGCCTTGGATCTCAAACATCTCACATCACCACTCACCCCCTCAGAATTGCCCAGACTGCCCCCACCCCTGGTCCCCCCCATATGTGTGGGACAGGTGGGGGAGCCAGGCCAACCTGAGAAGCAGGCACCTAAGTCCCATTCCAGCCATGCACCCAGGTGGGAGGATGGAGGTCAGACTGGGAGCATGGTAGGCTGGTGACCCCAGCTTATACGTACCTGGTGGCCCACCAGGCAGGCTGGTGGTCCAGTGGAGGAGGGCCAGTAGCAGGAGCAGTGTACCCAACATGCTGCACCGTGGTTACCGGTGTGTGTGTGTGTGTGTGTATGGTGAGGCACAGAGGCATCAGCCAGGGGAGGATCCAGGTTTGACTAGTGGGCAGGTGGCAAAGAGCGGGGGTGGCAGACAAAAGGGACATTGGAGCTGGAGCCCAAGGTCTATCAGGGATTATGGGATCTCTCTGGCCCACCTGTGGCTGGGGGATGGTAAAGTCCATGTGTATTTCCAAAGAACCAAACTAACCGCCTTGCCAAACGTAGTGACTCCATGTGTGGAGCTCAACTGTGCTCTGTAAGGTTTTCAAGGCTGCGGCCTTTTGAAGTAGGTCACTAGGCACCTCTGAGTGGATTCAAACTGCCAACTTTTGGTTGGGACTGAATCACGACAAACCACCTTCCAACCACCCGTTTCCCCTCATAGGAATGGCCATTTATCCCCATGACCAAAGGCATCTGGGACCCTTCCCACATCATCAGGCTACCACCACCCCATGTCACACAATACCATTTGGTGGAGGAAAAGGGAGGGGCTTTATTCTCAAGCATCTAAAGGTTTACAAACAAGGGCATTTTGTTTTAAAAAGGGTCAGGGCAATACTGGTGGCCTGAGAAGGGGCAGGGGCTGCTGGGCTCCCCAGGCCCCTACCCGCCTGGTGCACCCTCTACCTGGTCAGGAGGGCCGGCTGGTGACACAGGGGAGGGCGGCAGAGGCAGGATGGTGGGAGCAGAAGGCTCCCCCAGAGCCCCTGCTTAACACTGAAGGGCCATGGGGCAAAGGACACACACAAATATACAGAAACGTTAAATAAAAACCAAACCAGGCAGTTTGGCCTCAGGCCTGGGCTGACCCTGGGCCCACCCAGCTAAGGCCCCCTTGGCTGGGTAACGTGGGGGGGGGGCGCAGGGCCAGGCTTGGAGGCCCCATCCCCTCACAAAGGGGACACGGCAGGGCAGCCCACTCCCAGAAGGTGTCCTTCCCCTGGGGTGGGCAGAGGATGACTGTATTACATCTTAAACATGCGGCTTTGCGTGAATAGAGTAACAATAGGCGATACAGTGACCCGGAAGCCTTCCTGCCTCGGCTCCAGACAGCGACTCCTCACTTTTGGTGTTGGTTGGATGACGGTTGTGGGTTTGTTTCATTATTTAAATTGTCCACTTGATTTGCATGCATTACCAACAAAAATGCCACCCACTCTGTCCAGCCTACTGCGCCCTCCCTCCTACTCTGGGCCCCAAGGTGGGGCTGAGCAGCTGCAGTTAAGCAGAGGGACACTTACGGGCCACCTCCCCCCTTCTCCACCCCGAGGCCTGGCCTCAGCTCCCCCCAGCACTCATTCGTCTGTCCCTGTCACACGTTCTCAAGCCCCCACATCCATGCTGTGTGCCCTACAAGCTGCCTCCCAGGGGCCACCTCCTCACATGCATATGTTCACCTTTCCCAACAACAGCCTGTGTGACTTGGCACTCAGGGTCCCCTCTGCCCTGCCTCGAGGATGTTGATGCACCCCAAGCAGTGGCTGGACCCTAGGGAGGAGGAGCCCCCAGCCCACTGAGCCTGCCAGAACAGGCTGCTACACAAGCAGCTCAGAGTGACTTTGGTAAAGTTTCTGAAGATACCAACGAACCCACGAGCACGAGCTCCCCACCTCCCCTGCCCACCCCCTTCACACCCCACCAAGTACAATAAAATACAAGAAACTCCAAAAAGGACCCCCTGAGATCAAAGAGAGAGAGAGAGAGAGAGAGAGAGAGAGAATGACCCAGTCCTGGCGACAGTCCCAACTCCCAGGCCACCATTCACTGGTGTGGGCGGAGTCCAGGCCCAGAGACCTGGCGGGAGACCAGGAGAGAGCCACACAGGAACTGAGGAACAGAGAGGGAGGTGGTGACATGTGCGCTGGACAGAGGCGAGGGGACAGTGGGGGTGCAGACTTGGCTCTCTCCCGGGTTCTAGGCCGCCCCAGCCCAGAGGTTACAAATGAATAAATAGCAAGAGGGAGCGGGCCCGAGGTCTTCTGTTCACAGTGTCTGTTGGGGGCGCACTTGACCAGCTAGCCCCACGGCTGCAGGGGTTAGGGGTCCATCTGTCCACACTTGCTGGGCAAGGAGTTGGGGGTGGGGTGGCGCCCCCTACTTTTTGTCCTCAGTGGCCTCTAGGTTACCAGGTCGCCCCTGGTTGGGCAGCTGGGTGGCCAGGTGGGGAAGGCGGGCGGGCCTGTGGCCATGCCCCTGGGCCGCTGTGGGGCTGGCCGCCACCACTCGGCTACCTGAAGAAGGGCAGGTGGTGTTGGCTCAGGACTCCACTAGTCCGAGGCGACTCGGTCTTTGCCATGACGTCCTTGAACCAGGACGCCACATCTACCTCCAGCGTCTCGTAGCGCTTGATGAAGCTGTGTTCCTGTGGGCCCAAGGGGTGGGCTCAGTATAGAGGGCTTCCCTTTCAGGCCTGGGAGGATCAGAGAGGCTCATGGGGGGGGGTGGTGAGAGGGAGGTAGGGGGCAGTACTCACAAGTAGCTTATTGTACTTTGGTCTCTTCCTGTGATCTTTAGTAAGGCTGGAGAAAAGGAGGGAGTGGAGAGAGAAGTGAGTGTCCTGGGAGGGGCCTGACCACCTCCACCTTCTGGACAGTCCACCCCAGTCAAAAACCAGGAGTCCTCCAGGTCTACAGGAGGCGCTGCTGGTCTCTTCACAGCCCTGAACCACCGACGTCCGGAAGTCCCCCGCCCTTCCCCCCCCTCAGCAGGTGCGCCAAGGACTGCAGCATAGGCAGGAGCGGGAACTCGCACTCAGAGCTCGTTTGTGCCGAGAGCACGCTGTGAGGCTCCCCACCAGCGCCAGACGAACTACCATGGACACAGACCGCGACTAGCAGCCAAGCCTTTGTCCCTGGCTCCCCTCAGGTTCGATCTCACATCCCACTTCTGGCTCCCTGGGTACCGACTCCAGTCAGCTCACAGATACCACCCCCCCAAGGAACCCTCCACCACTCCTCTCCTGGCCCACCTGGGGGCTCCGGACACCCCCAGGGGCAGGGCTTGTGCTCACCAGTCTTTGACGAAGGACTGAAAGTCCCCGGAGAAGTCCATGTGACCAGGCAGGAGGGGGGGCTCCTCCTGGAGGACTTTGGTAAGGACCTCAAAGTCTGTCTTGCAGTTCTTGTACGGAAACTGTCCTGTGGCCAGCTCCACCTGGAAGAGAAGCGGGTGGAGGTGGAGCTGGAGCCGCGGCCGGCTGCGGGCCCACTCTCCTGCCCTTCAGAAGTTCCCGGACCCACCCGGTGGCAGGTCCCTACTCACCAGCGAGATGCCCAGACTCCACACGTCGGCGCGGATATCATAGTCCGGCTTCGTGGGGTCCGGGGGGTCGATGCGTTCAGGCTGTGGGTGGGAGGGGTCGTTGTACCGGATGCTGTTCCAGGTTTGCATCCGGCCCGCCCGGCACCCGCCCATGCTTACCGCCATGTAGGCGGCGCAGCCTGCACTGCGCGTCTTGGCTTTGGAGTCGACCAGGCGACCGCTAATGCCGAAATCGCAGAGCTTGATCTGGCCCCGCTCATCCAGTAGGATGTTGGAGGGCTTGACATCGCGGTGGATGACGCCATGCTTCTCCTTCAGGTAGAAGAGTGCCTTCACGATCTGTGGGGACAGGGAAGACGCAGTGACGGGCTGCTCCAGGGGGGCCCTGGGCCTTGGCCCCGCCTGGGAGCTCACCGCCACTGTCATCTTGCCCAGGATGCGCTCCGGAATGGGGCCCTGCATCCGCTTCTTTAGCTTCTCGGCACACGTCCCCATCAGCTCCATGGCGATGAAGACATCCGTCTGCGGGGGCAGCACGCACATGGCGCTCTGGGAGGCCCGCCCCACCCCCCTCCAGGTCCCAGGGAGGGGGTGGGGTGGAACAGGTTTGGGCACCCTTAGTGGCTTGGGTGGGGTGGGGTGGGGGAAGGGTTCAAGAAGGGCATGTCCAGCTACTTCCGGGACCCTTGCTTCCGGGGTGGGGCCTGAGGGGCGGGGCCCGGCTCACGTTGGTGATGAAGGTCCCGAAACACTGCACTATGTAGGGACAGTCGTGGCTCTTGAGCACCACGTCCAGGTCCATGAGGATCCGCTTGTTTTCCTCCTTGTTCCCCGAGCGCCGCATTTGCTGGACGGGAAGGCGGGAAGCTTTAGCAGCGGGCCATGGGACTTCCAAGGGGGTGGGGACCGGGGACACGGCTCACCTTGACCGCGATGATGTGCCCTGTCTTCCGGAAGCGCATCTTCCACACCTGGCCGCAGGTGCCGCTGCCCATCTCGCCCAGGTTCTCCAGGTCGTTGATTTCCGCCTGGTAGCGCTGGCCAGGAGAACGAGGGCTGGAGGGGTGTGGGGGCCTCTGCCCAAGCATCTGCCCCCAGCCCCTCCCATTGCCTGTCCGCCCCCACGGTGCCAAGGGTAGGTAGGTACCTGGCCCCCAATGGTCAGGTAGCCAGTCTGCTTCATGATCTCTTGCAGCTTCTGGTCAATCTCAATGCTGGGGAGACAGGGAGTGTGTGCTAAGTGGGGGGGCCCTGTCCAATCTGTGGTTACCCACAGGCCCCCTAACAGACAAGTCTCTGCCAGATTTACCCACCCTCCTCCCTCGGCCGAGACTGTGCCCACACTGACTCCGGCCCCAAGAGCTCACCTCTCCATGCTGCGGGGCGTGAAGAAAGGAGATGGCAGCAGCAGCATGTTGCGGGGCCGGACAGGGGGCGTTGGGTGCTGCGGGGAGCTCTCTGAGGATGGTGAGCGGCTACCCCCATCATTGGCCAGCGGGAGCTGCAGGGCTGAGGGGGTGAGAGCCAGGTGGAGCAGCGTTAGCTGCAAGCTCCGGGATCCAACCTTCCTTCCTGTCCCTGGCTCCCAAATGAAGACCAGCACAGGCCTCTGCTTAGCAGGGCTGACGGTCATCAATGCCTTCTCCCACCCAGAAGAAGCAAGATGGGTGGCACCCAGAGGCTGAGGACACAGCCCCACCTTTGTACTGATGTGGAGTAAGGCCTGGAGGCTGAGAGCTGATTGTGTCCCTAGCCAGGTGGCCTCCCTGGGGAATCCTTTTGGTTCCCACCCCCACCCAGGAAGCTCACCCGGGGCCTCTGTCCACATTCTGGACCAACCAGGAGGCAACACTGCCAAGATTAGCCTTGGGCCGAGGGTGGCACTGAGCCAACTGCGAACAAGAGCCAGGCTGACCACCTGGAGTAGGTGGGCACCAAGCTTGTGCTCTGCTTCTAAGTCCAGGGGCACCTTGCAGCCAGCCTGAGGGCAGGCCCTGCGCCCTGAGTGCAATCAGGTGGCACTGGCCCTCCAGGAGACAGGGACTGGGGGTGAGTGGGCCTGGGTCAGGCAGGGGGCTAGGTCTCTCCAGTAGCCTGCATGCGGACAGCTCGGACATGCTACAGGCAGGCGGGCAGGCAGGCGGGCAGGCAGCAGACACCCCAGGTCAGGCGGCATTAGGGGACAGGAGGCAGACAGACAGAGCCAAGACTCGGGGTCCAGCTGCCCAGAGGAGGCATGGTAGAGACAGCCCTTCCTGGGAGTTAAGCCCCCTGGACAGGACTGGCAACAAGAGCAGGGGAAGGGGGTGAGGTGAGCCCCAGGAATCCTGGGACCCAAAGGTCCTGCCATCTGGGGAAGGGGTCACTGGTTGGAGAGGATGATGGCTAGATGTCCCCTCTAAATTCCCTCCTGCCGAGGCCCACCTTTCTTCCCAGGCTCTGCGAGGCCCTAGACACACGGCCCAATGAGTCAAGATAAATATGCTTGAGGTGCTGGCATCGGGGACCCTGACCTCAGCTGGAGGGAGGGGCCAGAATGGGGCTCTGTCCTGTAGGCCTGGGAGGGGAGGGGCAGACCCTGGTGGGTCAGGCTAGTGCTCACCACATGGCCTCTCCTGCCCCACTCGCCTTTACCCCCACAACCATGGCTGCATTCAGAGCCCCAGCTCAACTACTTGGGGTTCCTGAGGGTCTCTGTGGTGGGGTACTTGGGCCCCTTTTCTGTCTGCACCATCAGATCTTGGGTAAGGACCATACCACCACCCTCTGTCCCCTCTTTGCACAGTCCCCAGGCCCCCTGAGGGTCCCAGAGCACAGGGCAAGAGCTGCTGGGGGACAGATGTTTCCAGCCCCATGGGGACCTGTGGGGCCAGTGAGGATGCCTGAGGGGGAAGGAGCGGAGACACACACAGGCTCTGCAAGCAGAGGCCACAGAGGAAGTGATGGGCGCATGGCAGCTCAGGAAGGTGGAGTGGGAGCAAAGAGGTGAACGGAGAGAGGATGAGAACACAGGAGCAAGAGAGGGTGGGGGACCCACAGTGTGCTCATGCACGCGCACAAACAGGCACACACTGGCATATGGCACGCAGCTCCACCACATGCAGACAGCTCCCTCCAACACACACATCCCAACACGTCCCCAGACTGCCTAACCAAGCCCAGACCCCTCGCCCCGGTGTCTTCCAATACAAACTGTCTTGCACCCACATGCCCATGTCCTTAGCATGGTGGGACAGGGGCCCTCTGGGCCTTCTGGCACTCTCACTGGCAGGCTCCCCTCCCCGCTCCTCGTCTGTCTCCTCTGGAGGCTCAGCACCACTTGGGGAGTGACTGGGTCTATCTTCTCGCTGCTCAGTCCCCAGGGCACAGAACAGAGGAGGTGCTCAGGCTGCAGTTACAGAATCACTGGAGTAACTGGACCATGCACAGCCACAGACAGACACACGCACGCACACACACACACATTTACCCCTATACATGTGCACACACACACACCTGTGCAGACAGGTACCTAGACACACATGGACACATGTGCACACCCATAAATGGATACACTCCTATAAGCACACACAATTCACTCCTGTAAACACACCCACAATCATGTATACGTATGTACACACATGAACACGCGTACACACATGCATGGCCACGCACACCACCCCTGGGAGACTCCTCCACTTGCAGGGTGCCCACTCCTCCAGGAAGTCCAAACCTGAGAGGACAGAGGAAGCGGCCTGCAGGGCCAGGGCATCGCATGTGGAGTGAGAGAGAAGGTGAGGGTGGGCGTGGGCAGGGGGCCGGGCGGGGGCAAGGCATTCTGCGGCCGGCCAGGGCAGCGTTAGGTCAATGGTGCAGAAATCCAAGCGGCGATGATAAAAAGGCAGGTACCTGCTCGTTGGGACGGGGCAGGAGCAGGGCTTAGAGTGACCACAATAACTGGATGGGGAAAAGGAAGAAAAAAAACAACACCACGATAAATCACAACAGAAACACCGATTTGTCCAAAAGAAAAGAAATAAAATTATAATGCGGAGGGGGTGGGGGAGGCGCAAGGCACCAAACTGCAGAGATGGGGAAATCGACAGAGATGGGAGGAAGGGATGGAGCGGACGCAGACACAGATGCCTGGGGGGAGGGGGTTTCCTCTGGGCCTGCCTGCCTCGGGCCTAGCTCTGCTCCTGGGACAGAAGTTGCTGGACCAGCCACCCCCCCTCAAGGCATCCCCTACCCAGCTCTGCCTCATTCACACTGGGAATGGGGAGTTACAATGCAGAGCCCAGCATGGTCCCCTCATGTATTGCCGCAGGTCGTCTTCAACCCCAGCACTCCCACCTCACCCCAAGCCCACCACCGATGCCCGAGAGGGTACTGGGGCGTGTGCCAGGCACAGGGAGTCAGGCTGGGTGAACAGGCCATGAACCTACTACTCGAATGCTGTGAGGGGAAGGGGAGCAGGATAACACACTGAACTGCAAGGTTGGCAGGTCAAACCCACCAGCCACTCCTGGGAAACTTTATAGAAGGTGACTCCACAGCACGTAACAACCTTGCCTTAGCTGTCAGCAGATGATCCCACAGACACCAGAGGGTCATGAGGGATGACAATGTCCCCAAGTCAAGGGGACATAAAAGGACATTTTGCTGGGGTAAACAAACAATAAAAAAAACAACAAAAAGTGATAGGGTGGGAGGGGAACGGGGAAGCTGAATTCCTTCCAGCGGAGAGGATTTGGGGGGATATTTTATGGGATATAAGGAGAGAACATTAAATGTGGATCTCAGGGCAGGTGTGCATGCAGGGAGGGCCCCCCTGCTGTGAACACCTGGTGACAAGATGCTAGGATGGCGGACGCTGTAACAGCAGGATCAGAAAAGAGTGTAGTATGTGATGCGGTGGCCCTAATGTGGGATGGGGGGGACAAAGGGAACAGCCTGAGGACTAGAGGGCTGAGAAGACAAAGTCACCAGATGGTCAAGACCCAAGGCCATCAAGTCCACTCTGTAGGAGAGAGAATTGCTCCACAGGCGTTCCGAGGCTATAAATCATTACCAAATCAGTCAGCCTCATCATTCTCCCGTGGAGTGGCTGGTGGGGTCCAACTTTCGGTTAACACCACTAGGGCGCCTTACGGTCAAGACGACAGCAGTAAAACTGGTCAGGTGGGGTACCAGGGGGCCTGGAGAAGATTACAGGAACTCTGGGCTGGGGGTATGTGGTTAAGATGTGTTTGGGAGGGTTCTCTGCTGAGCTCAGATGACAAGATCCTCCCTCCGCCCCGGCTGGGGAGAGAGAACCACTAGATATAGTCATAGGGGAGAATGGAGACGGAAGGATTACGTCTCGTCAAGTGACCTCAGATGTCCCCCAGCCAGGTGTGTGTGTAAGTGGAGCTCAAATGACAAGGTCCCAGGCAGGGAGAGGAGATTGCCTGAACAGAGTTACTGAAACAGCTGGAGGGCAAGTGTGTCACGGTCCCGTGCAGTAGAGGGTGCCCAGCTTAATGAACAACGTGACAGAGGCTCTCAGGATCTCAGATGGGCGGGTCATCAGGTGAGGCGGCCTCGCCTGGGACTGGCTATCTAGGCTTCCAGGCCTGGGGAGGGTCATCCGATAGCGGAGGGGCAGCCCTGGGTCGGAGTCCTCGCCGGCCCCATCCATGCCCCCCGGGTCACCGTGACCCTCTCCCAAAAGAGCCTACGGCGGGGGACGGAGAAGAGGCGGAGCGCGAGCTCCCCGGAAGCAGGGGCGTGTCCTGAAGGCGGGGCGGGGCCTCCCGTTGCGCGCGCCCCGCTCGCCCCCTCCCCCACGCAGCCGTGCTTACTGGGCCTGGGCCGCTGGGGGCTGATATCCAGGTTGAGGTCGATCCTCCGCCGGGCCTCGCGGTTCTCCTGCTTCAGCTTTGCTTCCAGGCGGGAAAGCTTCTGTTCTAAGGAGGACGCCGCCATCTTCCCCGCCGCCGCCGCCGCACACCGCCCGGCCGCCCGTCAAGTCCGGCAGACAAACACCGCACTGCGCCTGCGTTCAGATGACCCCACCGAGCCGCCGTCTTGCCCCGCACAGCGCATGTCCGCGATGTGCACCCGCCCCTTTTGCGTGCGAGCATCCGCGCGTGCGTACTTCGTCTCAGCCGGACCTATGACACAACGTAGAGCCCGCGGTTGGTGACGTGCACACCTCCACTGTGATGCGCAGGCGCGAGTTCCCGAGCGCTCCGGTGGCAAGGGAGGCTGTGCCGGAACCCTTAGCGATCGGTGGGCGGGGAAAGCGGCGCGCATGCGTACACACACGGGGGGGTGGTAGTGGGAGATGCGGTCACGCGCGTGGCTTCCCATGCGTGTGTGCATTACGGTGTCCCTGTCTGGCCACAGTCGCCCCCGATCATCACAGCTGTGACTTTTTCATCCTCGCTCTGCCCAGCTCGGCCTTTGAATTGCCTTCCTCGGCTGGATAGTGGATCCCTGTCATACTTAATTGCTGCCTAACCCCGGTCTCACTGCGCAGTGCCTCCTCCTAACCATAATTAGGCATCTGTGGGAGCCCTTTCCACCTCAGCCTGCCCTAACAAGTTCGGGGTTGGCTGAGGACAGGCTGAAGGAGACGGGTAGGGCTCGGACCACTGTTGTTAAGTGCGGGCCCGTACTTCTGAAGCCTAAGCAGCTACTTCAGCTTGCCCAGGTGCTCAGAGCACAGTGGGGATTCAGTGGTAGAATTCCATTCCCAGCGAATGCACCTCATGAAATCACCTGTCCATTCGTGGAAGCCATAGAGCTTCCAGACTAAGACAAACTAGACTAAGAAACCTGGTTGTTGTTGTTATGTGCCGTCGAGTCGGTTTCAACCCAGAGCGACCCTGAATAGGGTTTCCAAGGCTGTAAAACTTTACGGGAGCAGATCGCCTCATCTTTCTCCCGCGGAGCAGCTGGCAATTTCCAACTGCTGACCTTGTGGTTCGCAGCCCGATTAGTAACCATTACGCTATCAGAGCTCAATTAGCTTATGAAAACTGTGGATCACAACCTCCAATCCTGGGGACGGTGAGGGACCAGGTAGCCCTTCATTGTGTTGTACCTAGGGGTGTCATGAGTTGAGGCCCAATTTGACAGCAGATAACAAGGGTGCCAGGAAAATGTCCTCACCTGGAACCAACTCTATGTCCTCAGAGAGCAAATTATCTTTGCTCTTAGGTGCCAGGAGGAGGCTTACAACTTGAACACCTAGCAGGTGGCCAAGTCCACCTGAGAGCACAGTCAGGTGGGCCAAGTGCTCTGCCCACACCTAATCCAGCCTGGATCCTCATCTAGTGGATTTATGGATGGAGAAGACACAAAAGTGTGGAGTCAGGAGAATAAATGGGCAGTAGAGAAAAAGGAATTCTCCAGAAAAAAAAATCTAGACAGAAGATACCACCTAACGTCGGTCTTCTCATTACTCCTCCGAGCCCCTTCCTGTTCCTCTGCACCCACCCACCCAGAGACTCACACCCTTGATGCTGGTGCATGACAATCGCCTCTGGTGGTGGAATTGGTCTACAGAATTAGAAGACATACTCGAGGACATGAGTGAACAGAAAAGATCAGCATTAGAATTCTCATCAGTTGAATTCTTTATTAAACACTCGCTGATGTAACCTAAAGCTTAGAAGTTCAAACCCACTCAGTGGCACCACAGAATAAAGACCTGGCCATCTACTTTTGTATGTTGTTATTTGGTGCCTGTTCAGTCAGTTCGTATCATAGTGACCCTCTGTATAACAGAACAAAACACTACCTGGACCTGTGCCAGCCATACAGTTGTTACTGTTAGTGCCCATAGTTGCAACCGTTGTCTGAATCCATTTTATTGAGGGTCTTTCGGATTTTCACTAAGCAGGAGGTCTTCCAGGCATTGATCCCTTCTGATATGTCCAAAGTAGGTAAGAAAACTCTCACCAGCCTTGCTTTTAAGGAGCATTCTGGTCAAACTTCTTCCAAGACAGATTTGTTTATTCTTCTGGCAGTCCATGGTATAGTGAACATTCTTTCCCAACACCGTCATTGTCATGCATCAATTCTTTGGTTTGCCTTGTTCACTGTGCAGCTTTCACATGCATATGAGGCTTGGGTCAGGTGCACCTTAGTCCTCAAAGTGACACCTTTGCTTTTTAAAACTTTAAAGATTTGCCCAGTACAGTCCATTTAATTTCTTGACTCTTGCTTCCATGAGTTAATTGTGGATTCAAGTATAAGGAAATCCTTGACTTGCCTTCCCCCATTCTGATCCTGTATGCTTCTTCCTATAGTCCAGCTTCTTAGATTATTTGCTCAGTGTACAGACTGACTAAGCACAGTGAAAGGATACATGCCTGACACACCTCTCCGGATTCAAAATCATGCAGCATCCACTTGATCTGTTCCAAGACTGGCTCTTAGTCTACGAACTGGTTCCACATGAGTACCATTAAGTGTTCTGGGATTCCCATTCTTGGCAACATTGTCTCGAAGTTGTTCTGAGCTATATGGTCAAATGATTACAGCCAAGAAAACTCCGTGGAGCATTTCTACTCTATAACACACATGGGTCGCCATGATAGTGCAGAAGTCGATTTGATGACATGGGGTTTTGATTCTGATCTGAAAAATCCCTGGGTGGTGCAGAGTTAACATGCTTATTTGCTAACTAAAAGGTAAGACGTTTGAGTCCACCTAGAGGTGTCTCAGAAGAAAAGGCTGGCAATCTCCTTCTAAAAATCCAACGAAGCGCAGCTCCACTCTGATACACATGGGGTCACCATGAGCTGGAATGGACTTGATGACACCTGGTTACCGAGTCCTCAGAAAATGTAGCCTTTACGGCAGGTGTCCTTAACCTGGGGTCCCCTAAGCCCAAAAAACCTTCTGGGAGATATGTTACCTGCCTGAGACTGTTCCTGAAATTTTGTGCGTACATGAACATTTTTACGAGGAAGGAGGTGTCTAGCTTACCTCAGATTCCCAAAGGACCTAAGACCTAAAAAGAGTTCCAAATCCCTGTTCTAGACATTCAGGTTTTTACCCTTCAGGCAAGTATTTCCCAACAGAGTTAGGACCACCGGCATAGCAATTACCTGGGATGCTTGTTAACCAGCAGCTTCCTGGCCCTGACTCAGACCCTCTGAGTCAATCTATCGGGGTGGGGCCTGGGTTGTGCCGCTTTGCACACCTCCCCAGTTGCCCACGATTCTGTGTACATAGGTCCATCAGAGTAGATAACTGATACATAATAAGAGTATCACAAACAGTCACACGCTCAACTGCTAGTCAAAATGATGGTGACTGGAACTCACTCAGTAGTACTGTGGAACAAAGGTCTGGCAATCTGCTTCAGTGACTTTGTTGTTGTTAGGTGCGATTGAGTCCGTTCCAACCTATAGGGACCCCGAACAGGGTTTCCGAGGCTGTAAATCTTTACGGGAGCAGAAAGCTTCATTTTTCTCCTGCAGAGCAGCTGGTAGTTTTGAACTGCTGACCTTGCGGTTCTCAGCCCGATTCATAACCACTACGCTACCAAGAGCTCCTTACAGGGAAGAAAACCCTGTGAAGAACAGATCTGCTTTGTAACACTTGGAGTCGCTGTGAGCTGAAACCAGCTCACTGGCAACGGATTTGGATTTTTTTGGTTTGGCATCAAAGTTGGGAGCTGGTCCCTTTTCTCTGTGTCCCCTCCTTGGGAGAGAACCCCAGATATACACTGGTTTGTTGTTGAAGAGAGAGGGTTGGAAATCCCATTGGAATGTTCTCCCTCCTGCAAAGAGGCACTCATTGAGCTGGGATATTATTTTGGGGAGTGGGAGGCGGTGAGAGTAGCAGTTTTGGCCCAGGGTGGGGCAAGGACTTAGGTGAGGTTTAGGTCTGGGAATTCCAAGACTAGGTTAATCTCCTCTGGTTAATCCTCAACTTCCTGTCTATCTCCAGACAAACCAGTCACAGGAGTTTGCCAGAGATCCATAAAGCTGACATGCCAGTACCTCCTTTCTTGGCCTGGCCCTACATGGCTACCTCCCTTGAAGACAATGGCAGGGATTTTGGAGCGCCAGCGCCCCCCCCCCCCCCCTCACCCTGCCCCACCCTGGCGTCAGGCCCTCACTCCTCCTCCATCTTGTCCCGCACTTCGGCCGGGAGACCCTCATACAGTGTGTCCTCTACCTGGAGCCCAGTCTTCTTGAGGCCCCCACAGTTGCCCAGTTCCTCCGGCAGCCCCTCCAGCCGGTTGCCTTTGAGCTCCAGGCGGCTGAGGGCCCTGAGGGCCCCCACATGGGACGAGAGCTGCCTCAAGTGGTTATAGTCCAAGAGCAGCGTCTTCAGCTTGCGGCAGGAGAACAGCTCGTCGGGCAGGGTCTCCAGGGCATTGTAGGAGAGAGCCAGGTGCTGCAGGTTCTGAAGGAGGCCCAGCTCAGACGGCAGGGTGTGCAGTCCATTGTGGGAGACGTCCAGCAGACGGAGGCTGGTGCACATGCCCAGCTGGGTGGGCAGGGTCTCCAGCTTGTTGTGGCTGAGGAAGAGCTGCTCTAGGCCCCGGAGCTTTCGCACGTGCTCAGGGACATAGGCAATCTGGTTGTGCCACAGCCTGAGTACCACCAGCTTGCGGCAGTGCTGCAAGCTGAGAATCTCCTCGATGGAACGCAGGTGATTGTCCCTGAGGTCCAGTTCCTGCAGTGCCCCCAGGCTGAAGACAGCGTGTGGAATGCGCTCCAGGCCACAGGCCACCAGCTCTAGCTCTCTAAGCACCACCAGCTTCTTGAGGCTGTTGAGGGCCAGCAGCCGGGCGCCGTCATTGTGTAGGCTGAGCCTCTGCAGGTGCCCGGCCACATCAGTCACGCTGGCCGGCACCTTCCCAGCATTGCTCCGCAGGGACAGTACCTTGAGCTGCTTCAGCTCTCGCAGGCTCTCCAGGGTGGCCGTCCGGGCCAGCTCAGGTGGGAAGAGCCCCTCTAGGTGCAGCTCCTCTAGGCCTCGCAGACTGAACACCCAGAGCGGTACCTCCCGCAGCTCCTCAAACTTGACGCGCATCACCTTGAGCCGATCCCGAAGGAAGACCTGAGAAGAGAAGGGCATCCTGGCCGGTGAGTGCAGCAAGCTGAGCTCCTGCAAGTGCACCAGCTGGGAAAGGCCGGGTGGGAAGGTGACGTCACAGATGGCCTCCAGTCGGAGCGCCTCCACCTCGCTGAGTTCGAAGACGGTGTCCGGAAGCCCCGGCAGCATACACAGGCCCAGCTCGAGGCAGCCGCGGGCGTTCCGCTGCAGTTTCTGCCGCAGTTTCTCAGGCGTCCATTCATGGTTGAGGTTGAGCTGCTTGAGCCGGCTCTCGCTGACCTCGGACAGGAAGACAGCGAAGCGCTTGGAGTAGAGTGAATCGTACTGGTCAATGAGGTGCAGCATGAAAGCGAAGTCGTTCTTGACGTCGGGGATGTCCACCATGCCAGTCTCCTCCCGCACCGACCGGAAGGAGTATTCCTTGAGAGGCCGGTGGAAGAGCCAGTAAAGTGTGTAGAGGCAGGTGAGGCCGTAGACGCACATGAAGGAGATGTAACAGAAGGCGAGCTTGGAGAAGAGGTGCGCCTTGGTATGGTTGCAGCAGAAGCTAGCATAGCCCGTGACCTCTGAGGTCTCCACCCTACAGGCTACCAGGAAGCTGATCTTCTCCACGTAGATGAGGTTGTAGACCAGGATGGCGACGAACTTGCACACTTTGAGCACCGTCTGCCGGATGTACATACCATATAGGATGTCGCCTTCTTCCACATGTACCCGGAACTTCTTAACCTTCTCAAACAGGGCCTTGGCCTGCTCGCCCTCTTTCTTGTCCAGAAGAGTGACGGCCGGTGGCTCTGTCACCACCTTCTCAGGCTCTGCCAGCACCTTTTCTTTCTCGCCCTCACATGCTTTCCCGGTCCCTGTCCCTGCGGCCGCTGCTACGGCCACCACCTGACCAGGAGCGAGGCCCTTTTGGTTCTCCCTGGAGACCTCGGACAGGGCCCGCGTGGTCCAGGGCGAGTCGAAGCACTTGCCCAGGATGGAGATGAAGTGTTCGATCTTGGAACTGGTGCCGGGGAACTTGAACCAGAAGCTGGTGCAGACCATGAAGATGAGGGTGTGGATGACCACCAGGTAGGGGAAGTATTTGGCGTACCAGTGCAGGGCAGTCTCATAGCACAGCTGGTTGATGAAGCTATACTGCTGTAAGTCCAGGTTGTTTTTCAGGCCGTTCAGCTGCCGCAGGTCACCCATCTGCTCAGACACCCCCCTGGGCAGCAGCTGCCGGCAGGGGGCGTCCGACGACGACGACGAGTTCTCTCGGGGTTCGTGACTGGGCAGACAGATGATCTTGTCCTGTGTCACCTGGGGACGAGCGAGAGAGGTGAGGCGGAGAGGCTGGCCAGGCAGGTTGGAGGGGAGGGGGGCATCCCTACTGCCCCAGCTGGCTGGAACCTTGAAAGAGTGGCTCTGAGTATTGGTCGCTTCTGAAAAATGGAGATTTAACTGTAGCCCTTTCTAAATCCCAGGGATAAAACCGAGTAATTGCACAGTACACGGAAGGCATGCCCTATCAATGCCGAGGACGTTGGTGACGCCCCCAGCTCGGGTCGGGAAGCTAAGGGTTTCAACTTCCTGGACCTAGAAGCCCCTCACACTCTGGTCCCGTCCCCTTAGGCTCCGCCCTTCCAGGCTTTGGCCTTGCCCCTTTCCCTCTGCAGACTCCGGGTCCCACACACATTCAGGCCCCGCCCCTAGGCGCTGCCCCGCCCCTCACCTGAAGGGTGCAGCCGAAGACCCCGATCATGAGCATCGCTATGGTGAGGTACTCCGCGAGCACGTCCCACCAGGGTTTGAGCACCTTGAAGGCGGGCTGCTGCTCCGTGAACTGCTTGAATTCGGCCACTGGGATCATCTTGCCTATGGGAGAGGAGGTGGTCACACAGAGACTGGAAGGAAGGGGTCCCTGGCAGTGAGCTCCCAATATGCCCCGGTCCTGCTTAAACCTCGCGGTATCCCTTTCCCCTCACTTCCTCCCTGAGCCTCGCAGCTCCTGCATCCCCCACCTGTGGACTCGCTGGCCTTCTCTGCGCTCAGGGGGCAGGGTTGCTGGGTCACTGTCTCCCAGCTTTCCCGTGGGGCCCTCTCGTGTAACCGCAAGGCCAACCTCCGGAGTCCCCAAACTCCAGTCTTGCCCCCTTTCCCAACTGCCAGCCACAGCTCTCACCACCACGGGACCTAGGAGCTTCCCAGAGGCCTGAGACTTCCGGGGTGTGGGCCTGGGACCAGCCAGGGGTGGGCCCCCCTTCAGGGGCACTCCGATCTGGGCACCACCTCCAACCTCCAACCGGAAAAGCCGGCTGGAGCCAGGCTCTGGTTACGGGCCCCAGAGGCAGGGAGTGGCCACACTGAAGGCTGGTCAGCCTGGGGGGGGGGGCGCGGCTAGAGTGGAGGGGGGCAGGACACCTGTGGTTTCTAGAGGGGTAAGAGGGGAGTCAGGTATGAAACAGAGATCCCGGTGCTCAGAGGACGGGGCAGGGCAGAAGATCCCAAAAATGGAAGGAAGCTAGGGAAACACTGATGCCTCCCAGCTCCTAGCAAACTGGCCCATTCTGTCTGTCCTACCTGGGTCTCACGTTAGAAAGGACCCTTAGTAGCAGCAGGGGGACCTTCCCTCCTCCTTTTCCAAGGCAGCAGGCTCCCCCTCTCCCCTGAGTGGGCTCCTGGACCACTACCCTCCCAGCATCTTTCATTTCCCCACCTCATAGGTTCCCTGTCCTCATCCCCCCCATCCTATCACTGGGCAAAGGCTGGGGCAAGGGATGGAGGAAGTAGCCGATTTTCTGAGGCCTTCTAGCCACACCCCTCCCAGGAAGGTGTTGGCCAGTTTCCCCTTTATCCTCACAGGTCTTGGGATGGTTCCTGGTAGGAGCCTTTAATCTAGCTCCAAAGAGGCTTCCACCCAGATGCAGGGACCAGTACACAAGAGGGTGGTGCATGCCTGCCCACACATGGACACCATGCATACTGTCTGGCTTCATGGTCCCCCTGACTCATGCAGAATCAGACACGTGCAAAGGCCTGCAGAGCTCAGGGTCCCCTACAGAGCAGTGCCTCACAGGGCACGCCCCACATGCTGAGGTACACACCCGTCCCAGGCCAGGGCACCAGTATACCGCAGCAGACAGCCTGTCACCAGGTAATGGACGGAAAGAAGGGGGGGAGGAGATGGGCACTGCAAAGGGAACACCAGGGGCATTTGGAGTGTGCACAGGCAAGTGTGTGGGTACAAAGTCTCAAGACAGATCTTGAGGAGATCTGAGGCAATCCAGCTCTCAGCTTGGAAGGACCCATCTCACCACACTGCAAGCTCTGTGCCCACAGTCCTGGACCCAAACGTAGGCACAAAAGCAGAGATGTGCATGGTCCCAAGCCAACTGAACAGAGTGTAGACATACACACAGTCCGGAACTGTCACTGGGGTTATCATTATCTGTCTCCTGGCTCAAACTTCATTGTTGTGACCCTGCCATTAAGTCTCCGCAGACACATGGCTGTCCGTCCCCCCTCCCCCTTGTCTGACCAGGACTGGTAGGAGGCTCCACAGAGAAGGGCTTGGCTGGGCAATGGACCCAAAGAACAGTGGGGGACCGTCACCAACACCCAAAGTCAAACCAAACCAAACCTGTTCCTCTGGAATCAGTTCAGACTCATGGAGACCCCCACGTGTGACAGAGTAGACCCACTGCATAGGGTTTTCTTGGCTGTCAGCCTTACAGAAGCTGATCCTGAGACGTCTTCCATGCTGTGCAGTTGCTGTATGAGTTCCACCTCTAACTTTTAGATTATTAGCAGCTGACTGAAATCTACTTCAACACACTGCTTTTAAATGCCACCTTTTATTCCAGTGCTGTGCGGCATGTGTGTGTGTGTATAGTGGGGTTTGTCAGGTACTTCCCTTTCCTAACTTAAGTGCCGTTGAGTCAGTGACCCTGTATAGTTTCCAAGGAGTGAGTGGTGAGTTTGAACCGCCAACCTTCTGATTCAAAAGACTTTGCAGTCCAGCGCATTAACCCACAGTGCCACACCAGGACTCCAACCTAACTTGGGGGAAAGAAATGACTGGCCCAGGAAATCAAGCCTGTTCTGTCCAGGCCTGCATCCTGTCTGTCTGTCTGTCTGTTCAATTCCAGGGGAGACACTCCAGGAGACTGGACATCTTTGGAGAGGGAGACTCAGAGTGTCAGTTGGGCAGAAGAGTGATGAGGGTAACCATCTATCTAGGCACAGGTGTGTGCCCCAGTACCCTGCTTTTCCTCTCTCAAGCCTTCCTCATGCCCTGGTGTGTCCCCAATGAGATGGTGGGTGGGTGACTTCCTGCTGGTAGTTGTGACGGGACCCCTTGATCCAGCCCTCCCAATCCTCACCCAACCCAGCTTTCAGGGGCCAGAAAGAAACTGCTGTCAGCTAGAGAGGGGGGACCTTGGAAGTGCACAAGGGGAAACTGAGGTACAGCTGAAGGATGGAGGGGTCTCCATTAGCCCCAGAGCTGGGCGCTCCCAGTCTAGGACTTTCCTGCCAGATCTGGGGAGTCTGGATAGTGAAGGATTCAGAAGGCAGACTGGTGAGGGCCCCAGCTGGAAGGGAACGAGCTGTCACTGGTTTTGAAACCATTAAAGAGAAAGTGGAGCGTGGTTCGGACCACTACGGCGCGGACTCCAGCTTGGACCCCTAAAGAGGCGCCCCTTGGGCTGGTCAAAGCCAAGCCTCTGTCCCCCTCCCCACCCAGGTCCTCATGTGTCTGGTAGGATCCGACCCAGTGTCAGCCACCAACCGCACCTGGGATAGTTTTGCCCCTTGGTCGGACCCGGGCTGCCAGCCCCGACCCCCGCCAGCCACTCCATCTCCAGGGGCAGGGAGCCACCCACTCACCACTCCGCGATGAACGCTGGGCCCAACTCCTGGATCCCTGGGAGCGGCGTGGCTGAACTCCGGCAAAGTTCCCCGGCTAACTAGGGTGAGTCAGGACCCGCTGGCGGAATAGGCGTCCCCTGCCGCCCCGCCCTGCCCCGCCCCCGGCCCCGTCCCGGGCCCGCTAGACCCGCCTCCCTCAAGGAGCTCTCAGATGGACCCCTACTCCAGGCGCCGTGTGGTGGGGGGTACGGGGGAGGAGATGGAGCGTTTTGTCCTCAGCTTCACATCCTACCGGAGGTGTGCTGGGGCTGGGGCCGGGGCCGGGGAGCTGGGACCTCAGAACTTGGAGCTCAGGGAACTGAGGGTGGGGTTACTGGGCTCCCCAAAGCATCCTGTGCCCCTCTGGACTCTAGGCTGTGCTAATCCTGTCTCCTCCTTCTGCAAAGTCACCTGGCTTACAGTGCAGGGTCAACTAAGGACCCAAGAACATAGAACAACCCGGATCAGGAGACCCTCTCTCTCCGGGGAGATGGGGGCGGGAGTGTGGGGGGGGGGCGCGAGGAGGGTGCTTCTCCCTTTCATGCTGACCTGGGGAAGCAGCTAGAGTTCAGGCCTATCCTCAAAGGGAGGGGACAACGACCACAGAAGGGTTCTGGGACCTGTGGATGGCTTCCAGTTTGGGAGGTCAGGTTTCTTATCAAGGAAAGCTCTGCTCCTTCCCCACCTATAGTCCTGAACTGGGTCTTGATTACCTGCCACAGAGCCTACTTGGACTCATGTTGGACCCTTTGTGTTTCATTAAGACTTCCAATGGCTGAGTTTTCCGAAGTAGATCACTTCCTAGCTGCCTCTGGATAGATTTAAAATGTGCAAATCCACTTCAGCCTGGAGGTGTCTATGGTTGAACCTTGATCTGTTCTCAGTGGGGCTGGGACTAGGGTAAGAAGAGGGAAAAGACAGAGCTTTCACCAACTCAAGACAGCCTGAGACCAGAACCATGCAACAGAACCCCTAGAATGGATGGGGTGCCCCTTGGCAGCCCTAAAGAAACTAGGCTGGTTTTTCATAGTCTATTCCACAGTGCCATCATAAACATATAAAAGTTGAATGATGAAAAAGAAAGAAGAATTGTTGCACTAGAAACAGAAAGATCAATCTGAGAAGAAATGGAACCAAAATGTTCCTTAAAAGCAAGAGTGGCAAAACTCAACTTGCTTACTGGGCATGTCATCTCTAGACAAGGGTCTCGTGATTGGTGAAGTAGTTGTTGTTAAGTGCCATTGAGTCGGTCCTAACCCATAGTGACCCTGTATAGGGTTTCTGAGGAGCAGCTGGTGAGTTTGAACCGCCGACCTTGTGTTTCAAACCGACCTTTCAGTGGTCCAGTGCTGATCCTACAGTAGCACATGAGGAAATGATGTGAGAACAGGAAGCTTTTCGTTCTGTTATGCATAAGGTTATTTGAATAACTGTGGGCCTGGCCCTGAAGCTACCATGGTGAACAAGATGGTGGTGGTTATGTACTGTGGAGTCTGTCCCAACTCATAGTGACCCTATATTGGGTTTCTGAAGCTGTAAATCTTTACACGAGCAGAAAGCCTCATTTTTCTCCTGTGGAACAGTTGATAGTTTTGAACTGCTGACCTTGAGGTTAGCAGCCCAGCCACTGTTTTTTGGGGGGACCCTAGGTAAGGAGCTCTGGTAGCCTAGTGGTTAAGAATTGGGCTGCTAACCTCAAAGTCAGCCCTTGGAATCTCCCAGTTGTTGGGCTAAAGAAAGATGGGGTTTTGTCCTCCCATAAAGATTTAAAGCCCTAAAAAATAAAATAAAAATTTAAAGCCTCGCAAACCCTGTGAAAGGTCGTTATGATTCAAACCCGACTCCACCGCACATAACCAACTATCAGGAAAATTTCTAGTAGGGGACTGCTTCTACTGGGTAAGAGAAAGAGAGCCAGGGCCATGGGTGAGTAGTGCGCATGCGCAGAACAAAAGCCTTGTT